CTTTGGAGGAGGTTGGGGTTTGGGGGATGGGATGGTTGCAAGGGACGGTTCGGGTTGTCTTTTTTTTTTTTTTTCCATTTTTCATTTGTTTTTTTTTTTCAAAAGAGGGATTGATCTTGGGCTATCAGACCGAACTGGGAAGATGTTCGTGGGGAGAAAGATCAAAGAGTGTGTCAAACTACGACCAACAATGTTTGACGATTGGTGATTTGCCATCGAGGCGGGGGGGCTTGCAGAGGGGTGAACGAGGCATCTCATGACTTCTGTACCGTATCCTGGGGATCGTCAAGCACAAGCCGAGGCTTTCTGAAGCGGCGAACGTGAGATGTCGAGCTTCGATCACGAGACGGAGTCATCACTCGGTTGCTGACCCGTTTGAGAGGCATACCAGGGCACAGTCCGTTGTCGACACCACATCGCCGCACATCTTATCGTATGTAGGATTTACCAGGCGCCTGTCCGGGCGTTCGCAAATCCCATCACAAACCCTTCCCGACGCGACAGTGGAAGACATTATCTCGAGATGTTTACACAACAACAACAACACCAACAACAACCTGCCGTTTACGAACATGTGTGTTTTATTTCCCGGGACAGTGGCTTGCTGCTTGCCGGGGAGGCGCCAGGAACCAAGTTTTTGGTCCACGGTGTGTTGCGTTCGCAAAGCACAGCACTCCGAGATATTGAAGTTTCAAGATTCAAGACCCTCTCCCCCCCCCCCCCCAATTGAAACCTACTCCCCCCGCGGATGGGCTTGGCTTTTTTCTCTTTTGGAGCAAATGCCCCGCCATTGAGGGGTCGGATCTTCAGCTCTTGTCGAGACTTTCAATGCCTCTAGATGCACGTTCAGCCTGCGTTTTGGGACTGCTTGGGATAACTAATGTAGGTAGTGAGACGCAAGCATATGCCCATACAGGGACACGCCGCAGAGTAGCATCCAGGGCCAAACATCGAGATCTGGGGATCAACCCAAGCGGATGGACGGTGGCCAATTGGTGGTTTTGAAAGGGGGAAGGATTCAGGAGTTCGAGAACCCCGCCGGCAAGCTGCCTCCGAGGGGGCGTTGTGGTTTACGAAGTTTACTGTCTGACTTACATATGGACCCCGCCGATGGATTGCTTCGACGGAGATGAGAATTGGGAGAAGAATTGGCCGTGCAGATACGATGATGACGATGGGCGTCATCTCTTCTCGAGGCCATTAGCGGAGACCAATGGTCAAGATAAACGCTTCCAACTTCCAACATTAACAACCTCATGAAGATATCAACCGACTGGCTCAGCTAACCGCTATCCAACAACATGCAAACAAAACCCAGCCCCTCGGAACCACCCACTCGACAAGTCGTGATCAACAGCGAGGCAGGTAAGGCTGAATCTTGTTTTCTCAAGGTGTGTTAGCATGCACGACAGGAGGAATTCCCGCTTTGGGTGTCAAATCTCGAAATGTTGGATTGGGGGGGAACCAATCAGCGCCGTTGAGTAGATTGGCTCGGTGTAAGTTGTGAGGCACTTTACGCGTGAGAGAGGGAGAGATGGGTGCGCGTTGTATCGCGACAGACAGACGCCGCTTTATTGCATTCGGATGGCTTGATGGGAGACATATCGGTGTCCAGTCAGCGTTTGAGGTTTGGTTGATTTTGCTTGGTGTTACGTTGACAAGGGAGGGGGGGTTATTTACGGAAAGCTCACACTGCATTTTGTATCTGTAGGCGAGAGCGAGAAAAAACGGGGGGGGGGGGGGGTGGGATCCGGAGTGGTGGGTTTGAGGAGCATCATCAACCACTTCAAACCTTGGGCTTGGGGATGATGATCTTGAAGACGAAGCGAGACGATGGTGAATTGCAGTGAAACACCACCTTCACCGGTATCATGACCGTCTTCACGACGCAATACCTTCATCTTGATGCTCCCATACCATCTTCCTGATCATGGATACTGTCATCTCCGGATTCCTGCACCCAAGACAAGACAAGCAAATTCTCCGACTGGCAACTGGACGCTTTTGGATGGCCAAATTTTATCAACACGACAACGCCCGCATTCGCATCCCTTTCCATCCACTCCCCAGCACCGGAAACCTGGAACGGATCTTTGGGCACGTTTTGTCAATGTTTCTTTTGAGGCACGGGGCATGCCCATCTTGCAATCTCGGCTGTTCTTGAAGCTGTTCGCGGAACGGCGGGTGGTGGAGATCGATCATGTTAGTTTGCGCGGGGGGGGTGGTTTCCGGCGTACCGTTTTCTGGGGTTAATCTCAACAATCAAGCAACAGACAGAAGCGTTGAACCTCGAAATCGCAGATGCGTTTTATAGATTCTACCCAAAGAAGAAAAATAAGAAGTATCAATTGTCGGGTAGACGCACATTCTCAAACTTGTCCAGACACCGCCTCATCATCTCATGAAAGAACCGCATTGCTTGGATGAGATTAGACACCAAAAACGGGCCCCTTTGCCCCTCTTCTTGGTTGGGACGGACAGACGGACGGCGGTCGGTCTGGGGTTCAGCTCCCCACACCGTATCAGAAAGCAGTTGTCATCTCGAGCGCCTAGATCGACCGACCAACAAACTTGTGCATTGACCTTCATCTCATCTTTTCCCATCCCTGGCTTGGCTTCGAGAAGGTTCAGGAGGTTCGATAGGATCGGCTTGGCAAATCTTTGGGCTTATCAGGGGGTTTTTCGTGATGTCGACGTTGAGGCGTTTGGCAAAAGGTAAAAAGTGAGGCTGGATACTTGCCTCGATGTCTTGGAGTGGTAATCCGTGGTCCACAACCTAACCGCCTCGTTCCCAAGTAATATATATATATATAAAAAACATTTGTGATCCCCCCAAAAGTTTAAACCCACCATATTCCTAGAGTCAGTTTCTCCTGGGAAAGGGTTCACAACCCACTGGGCTGAACTCAACCGAGTGGATGACCGCCTGCCTGCCTGCCCGCCCACATTGTCTCAGAGCCATCGTAGATACTGTATGTACGGACGAGGATCTACCAAACGCCCCAAAGCCACATGTTTCTGTATGTTCCGGCCCGGCTAGCAGCATGCGCAGCTTTTACGTCAGCGGTTCGTGGGACACTTATGAACCCCTATTATTTCTGAACCTCCTCCCTCACGTCGGTGTTGTATGTAAGCTAGGCCTTGCTTCGGGATTTTCTCCGCTTCAATGGAGATGGAGCATCCTTGAAACCAGATGAGGTGCTACGGGCGTCAAGGTGGGCGGCTGTCCAGTTGTCGTGGAAGGCATCTGTAAGGAGATGTGATGGATGTTATGCTGCCTTCCGACCTGCTGTGTAGTGTGTCTTTGAAGTCTTTTCTTCAGCTGAGAATGTCAGGTCAGCTCCGATACTTCTTTCAGCTTTCCGTTATCAACCTCCAGGGTTGAGGGATCTAGGAGACTTGCATCAGCTGCATATTATGCTGTCCCAAGCTCGAGGTTCTATGGTTCTGGGAGCTTGACGTCTGTGAGAGGTTCAAGTTCAGATGTGTGATATGCAGCCTCCCGTTGTCCGTTATCCCGAGCCCGAAGGCTTTTCCCGTTGCCATCTGGCCGGCCCGACCCCGAACTGTTCAAATGGGACGGGCGGGAGGGATCGGAAGATGCATGTTTGGGTCAGGTGGAGCTGAGAGGTGGTGATTCCGTGGTTGAAAGAGGGGGGAGGCGGGAAAGGGGTGATGAAGGAAACGGACATGAAAATGCAGCTACGCAAACCCTACGGACGAACGAGCTAGGTCGAGGGAAGGAGTATGTAGATACCCGCTGAGGCAAGTCGATCATGACGCCGAGAGAGGTTCAATGTTGTCTGGTGTGGCTTCACACTGGTGTAAATACAAGGTCTCGAGCTCGGAACACATATGGCAATGCTCGAGCTTTGAACCAGTGCCAATATAGCTAACCAAATATTTGCCCCTTCATATCTCTCTATGAGGTATCAAAGTATACAGCGTCGTTTGGCGTACTCGAGCATATCGTTCCCTCGGCCTGCATAAACAAAACAGACCCGGCATGAACCCGCTGGAGTTCAGCGGCTGATAACAGCTGAACGGCACGAACAGGCTGGCTAGTCGACGCCTTCAACGGGTCTAAGCAGGTGTGAACTGGTTTGCAGTCTGTTCGAACACGTTTGCCGGTTACTTGCGCCTATCGTTCGATCTCCTCGGCCGTGGCCTGAACGTTGAGCGATGTGCATCGACGGCCACCTAGTAGCCAAATTTTAACGGTTTGATGGACTCGAAAGGACGGTTTCAGCCATGCATGCTCTGGTGTTTAGGTACCGCTTGATGGTAGGTATGGCGTCGCTGTCCTCAGAATGGTAGCTTGGACTCTCCACCTCATGATATGTACAATCCGAATGACAATATGAGCGATTCAAGTAGGAAGTCGAAAGTCTTGCCTGTTAGCTTGCCCCTTCCATCTCTATCTACCCGCCTTCTGTTCCTTCCCTGTATCCGCAACCTGCCTTTGCTCCTACTCCTTCCCTCTAAAGTGCCCTTACCTGGCGCTCCTTCCCTTTGTCCTCTTCTCCTTCCTCAACTAGATGGGGTTTTTTGGTCGAGGGAAGGAACAAAGCTCTAAAAATGGAAGGAGGTGACCCAAAAGTTGGGAGGGCTGAAAGGGGGATTTGGTAATGTGTAAATGTGTAAATGTGTTAAAGGGGAAATGTGGTAAAGGGTGGAAAACCTGGTCATTGTGGACATTTTGACTACGGATCGTATTCACTTGGCTGTTTGTTTGCCAGAGTCAAGTGCAGACAATGTGGCTTATCCCAGGTTAAATATCCACTCATGGAAGCCTTGACCTTGAGTTGGACTGTCATGGAAGACTTGATGAGTATCTCGCAAAGGCATGTAGAGGGAAATGTGTTTCGAGAATTTGCTTGGTGCCGTCCCCCTCTAATACCGGGTTGTTTCTCTTGTCATTAAGAGTGAAAAGGGTAAATTATCCAAAGATGGATGTATTCTTCCAGATGTATTGCTTTCTTTCCGAAATCTATATATGCTCATGTATCATCCTCCTGCTTTGCCAGCACTTTCCTCCTCCGTATCAGCTCAGCAAGTGGTACATCATCATCATCATCATCACCATCTCCCACTACCCTCTCTCTTGCAACATAGTCATCTTCCACATCCTCATCAACTCCATAGTCCCACAGCCTATCTCCATCACTGTTCTTCCACCCCGTCTTCCCAGTCCACTCCCTCTCGTCTTCATCCTCTTCCAACTCTCTTATTACCCCCGACTGCCCTTGAAGTTGCTGTATCCTCCGCCTCCTTGCAAAATCCTCCTGCTGTCTCCTCTCAAAAGCAGCCTTGATATCCTCCCCACCATAATAGTAATCATCAGGCATTTCTTGTTGTCCCTGCTTCTTATACGCCCACCCACCCTGCTTAGCTCTCCTCTCCTTCTCCATATCGGGTGGCGGCCACATCCCCTCCCAGTCATTAAACCCATTCTCCTCATACTCCCACCCCAGCCCTCCCTTCTTTTGATCAGCCAACTTCGGACCACCGCCACCAACAGGCAAAAACCACCTGAGAAAATTCGCAGTCCCCATCGCCTGGCTCATATTGCTGAAAAATCCCAAGTCGTAAGGGAACTCGATCCGGGACAGCGAGGCAGGATCGAAGTCGTCAGTCCAATAGTCATTGCTCGACGAGGACGATATCTTGGATATCAGAGCATTGTGACGGTCGAGCTCCCACATTTCGATCAAGGTGATATTCATGACCCATGATTTGAGGGTTGTGACGAGGAGGATGAACAGCGCGAAGAAGGTGCCAAAGTTGGCGAGACAGAGGAGGGTTATCGAGATGAGGCTGAAGAGGGAGGGGCCGAGGTAGGAGGGGAGGTGGCGGTCGGACCAGATGACGCTGATGCGGGTGTAGAGGAGACTCGAGAGGTATACGAGGGCGATGTTGGTGTAGAGGAGGAACCGGAGGAAGTAAGGGAAGGTGGTGAGAGAGACACAGTTGTTGGTCCAGGGGCAGTGGTGGTCCATACGGGGGATGCAGCGGGCGCAGTGGCGGCAGTGGTGGGCTCGGGGAGGTTTAAAGGCCTGGCATTTCTTGCAGAAGCGTTTATTCTGGGTTGGCTTTTGGTCGTCTTTGTCCTCCTCCTTCTTGTCCGAGGAGGGGGAGAAGACGAAGCGGCCTGGGTCGACTGTGCAGGCTTTGTAGTATGTCCACCAGAGGCAGAGAAGGAGAGCATTGAAAGTTACATTCTCTCGAAAGGTGAGAGGTCCGGGACGTAGATCGGGGGAGGTGTTGAAGAGGTACTGGGAGAAGTACCCCTGGAAGGTTATAAGAGCGACGACGGAGGGGACGTAGAGGAGGTGCAAGCCCGGGGTCTGCGGACCGGCGAGGGGATGTGTTATCATGGTCGAGAGCTTTTAGTTTCTTCCATTAGCGACACTTCTTTCAGGCTGAGGTGACAAGTATATTCGTTTGGTGGTGTTGTTGCCTTGCCCTTAAGAGCGAGCTTGGAAGCATCGGATGTTGTACGAAGGCATCAAACCAACGCGCTGGGAGACGCGCATTCCCAAAAAAAAAGTGTTGGCCAACGTCACTTGCCAAGAAAAACGTTGTTACTAAAATACGCTGGATAGCCGCTAAAATAGGTGTCTCTTGAGGTACCCTTTTAGCGCCTTTCAGGGGCTAATTACCAGTGCACCAGAAATATGGACCCGTTGGTTAACGTCCTGAACAGGGGTCGGTACACTTAACTGTCAAGACATCATGCCAATCTGACATTTGCATTTCATATTGAATTTCAGGTGGACTTACACATTCATAGTCGCTCCTTTGACCAGTTTCACACTGATTCGACATTTTTCAGTTCACTCAATGGGTGATCTCGGGCGATAACACCTGGTCATTATGTCGAGCCAGTTGGCGGCCTTGTGGTATAGAAACCATTTACACAACACAACACTTTCGCGGTTTTGAATGAGTTCACAAGCTAACCATCTCATCATCTCATGACAGCGCCGTTACCTCCTTCCTTTGGCTCATCAACAGCGTGGAGGATCATCAAATCATCGGTAACTAAGTCTTTCATCCCAAAATCGTTCAACCATTCACTGACAAAAGACCAGAACAACCCCGCCTCTCATCAACCCTCATCCTCCTCATCGCCTCCCTCACCTCCTACGCCATAAGCCACTTCTCCGGCTGGCTCCCAGGGGCCAACGGCCGCTTCGATGATGAACTCAGCCTCTCCTCCACCGGCAACAAAACCAGGCCAATATCCCAACGAAACTTCCCCAAGAAACCACGACGGTACTTTGTCCTCATCCTGATCGTCTGCATCATCCTCCGACTGGAATCCTTCCACCGAGTCACCGCCGACTTGCAATGTTCCAAGCCCGGGCTGGAAGCCTTTCTTCCGGTTCTCATTCTTGCTTATCAGCTGTACTCTTCTCCTCGCCGACCACGCACCTTTGACGAGGAAAGGGATGACTTCACAAGGACAATGTATGAGGCCATTCCCGATTTTTTGGCGAGGTCGTTGTACATCCTTGTTCCTTCTACGCTCTTGATTTCGTTTGGAGCGTACCTGGCTTTGATCTCGGAGCCTAGGTCGACGCTGTTTTGCTCGCCACAGCACGACTGGGCGAGGTTTGTGGTTCTGGTTCAGTGGGCGGGGGTTGTTCTTGATGCGGCGATAGTTATTATTGCCTGGAGAATTCTGGCCTGGGCTAGAACCACCAAGTCGAGATTGAGGACGTTGGCGGGAATCTTGCTCGTGTCTGGCCTAGGAGCTGGCATTTTTTGGGGGTTGAGTGGCGATGGAGTTGGGAGTGATACCCTGTTTTGGTTCGATGTCGTTATTGATGGGTTGACGCTTGCAACTTTGCTGGTATCCAGCAGTCTTCTTGCACCCGAGGGCGGGGCCGTGCTAGGTTTCGCCGGAGTTGTCACCTTCATCACTGGGTTTCTCATATCAGTCCAGCGGGTCTGGACATTAGGGAGCTGGGAAAATGTTTCTGGCTGGCAAACATGGGGAGCGGTGGTGGGCATGTCAGCTGGGTTCACATTTTTCTTGCACGCGACTGATATCAAAAAGGTGATGTTCATTCACAGGGCGTTTGTTATCATGGCTTTGATGGCCGTGGTGATCGCCGTGAGCATCTTCACCCCCATCAAGATGAGCAAGGGCATGGATAGCCATCCTTTGGGCAAGCTCATCTACGATTCAAGAGTGGAGTCGGACAGGTGGTTGATTCACGCAAGTTACAGCGATTCACTGCCATCGGCGGTACGGGAGTATGGGGAAAGACATTATGGGAGAGATCCGCCAAAGGGGTTCGACAGGTGGTGGGAGTTTGCAAAGCAAAAGAAGTCCCCAATCATCGACCACTTCAAGCAGATGGGTGACGATATCCTACCTTTTTGGGGGGTGCCACCGGCGAAGCTGAGAGAAGACACAAGAAAAGCAGCCAAAGAGATTGATATGGCGCTGCTTCAAATACAGAACGGGACGGCGAGGCACAACCTCCCTACCGAGAATCCATATCAAACCATCATGGATGAGCTGGTCGACTTGATCAAAGATTTCGTGGAACATTTACCAGACCTCGAGATGGCAATCAATCTCAACGAGCGGCCGAGGGTGCTGGCACCTTGGGATCAGATTCAACGGCTAGCCGCTGCTGGGATGAAGAGAAAGAAGGCCTCGAGCCTATTGCCAGGCGGCAGCTCGGGAGGCAGCGAATACGGAAAGAAAGATATGCCCAAGCCCAGGCTGACCGAGGCTGTTGATAAGGACGAGCTGCTCAAGAACACCATGTCACCGAAAGCCCTTCGAGAACTGACATCCTTAAGCTGTCCCACTGGTACCAAGGTCAAATCAGGAGTTCACTGGGACATCCGCGATTTCTGCTCCTCCTGCGCCAAACCCCAATCCAACGGCCAATTCCTTACCAATTTTGGCCTCTCCCTCGAACTCTGCCACCAATCCGACCTCATGAGACTACACAGCTTCTACATGACCCCCGCCGAAGTCCCCCCCACCACCTCTCTCCTCCCCATCTTCAGTCGGTCCAAAACAGACAACTACGCCGACATCCTCCTCCCCTTATCACACCCTCCTCAAACCACCCCCCTTACACCCCCCAAGACCCCCCAACCCTGGTCCAAAAACCACCAGAAACTGTATTATCGCGGCTCCATCTCCCGCCCCTATTCCGACAAACCCCTCCTCCGCGGCGGCCAAGAGGAACGCCTAGTCCACCTCACCAACCTCCCCCCTTCCTCCCCTTCCACCACCACCACCCGCCTCATCCTCCCCAACCAATCCCGCTCCCGCGCCCACTACCGCTCCGTCTCCACCCCCCACCTCAACACCCTCCTCCCCTTCGACACAGCCTTCACCTCCTACTCCCCCTGCCAACAAACCCCCTCATCCTGCCCCCTCGACTTCCACCACCTCACCTCCTCTTCTTCCCCCCCTGATCCCTTTTCTAGTCAATACATCCTCACCCTTGACTCCTCCACCTCCCCATCCCCATTATTCCTCCCCACCCTCTCCTCCCCCTCCAACGTCCCCTTTTTGTCGACAATCTTCAAGGAGTGGTACACCGACCGTGTCCTGCCCTGGGTTCACTTCGTCCCGGTAGACATCCGCTTTCACGGCCTGCACTCCACGCTCGCGTATTTCACCGGGATTCAAGGCCAGACTAAAGAGCATGGGTCGACAGACGGGAAGTGGATCGCCGAGCAGGGTGCTAAATGGGCTGCTAGGGCATTGCGAAGGGAAGACAGGCAGGTGTATCTGTTTAGGTTGCTGCTCGAATGGGGAAGGTTGGTGGATGATGGACGGGATGAAGGGGGATTCAAGATTTCGTCGTCGTAAGGGTTAGATTAGCGGACGGTATGGTATATACACAGGTACAACGATGTAAATAGACAGATCACAAAAAAAAAAAAAGCCTGTATAGAAAAAAAAGTCTTCTATTCTGAATCAAATTCACCCTCTTCTCCTCCTGCTTTCACGAACAACCTCCACGAAAACAGTTTTCGCTACCCACACCAAAACCATAAAGAACAAAAAGTGTATAAACATTACGAAACCCCTCCTCTCCTCCTCTCTCACCAATCATCATCATCATCCTTCTTAGCCATGGCCTGCTTCCTAGCCAACAACGCCTCCGCCAACCCCCCGGCCAAACTGGGAGTCGGCGTGTTACTCCTGCTCGCCGAGCTGCTCCCCCCTTCACTTCCATTCAGACTCATCCCGCTATCCCTCGCCTGCAATCCAACCGGCTTCCTGCTAGCAACCGGTCTCTTCGCCGGAGGCTGAGGAGCGCCCGGTCTAGCCGGGGGAGGAGGGGGTGGTCTGGGAGCCGCAACGGGGGGAGGTGCCTGCTCCTCGACATAAGCGGCGGGAACCCACGCTTGCCCCGCGTCTGTCTTTGCTAGCCACCAGCCTGGACACAATAAGTTAGTATGACGCCAGAGGCGGGAAAGAAAGACGGGGAAAAAAACTAACCATTATTCTCCTTTTGCACAATCTCAATGAGTTGCCCGGTAACGATCGACATCTCATTTTCCTTGGTCCCGGCAAAGTCGTACAGGACCTTGGCCATAATCTTGGGCTTTGCAGCAGGCGGGGCAGGCGGTGGAGGAGGCGGAGCGCGGGTAGCAGACGAGTTGGACTGGTTGCGGGTATGGGTAGGCAGACTGACCGCAGCTTGAGCGGCCGCAGTGTGTTGGTACCGGCCGTGGTGTCGGCACCGGTCTAGAAGTAGCAGCGGGAGTAGCCGCCGGAGTGGCAGCAGCAGAAGCACCTGGCCGAGGCACAGGTCTGCGGTTGTTGTTGGTGACTCTCGATGGTCTGCCTCCTGGTCCGCCGGGCCTGATGAGCTTGCCCTTGGTGATTGGCTTGGGAGGGACAGGCTTGCCCTTGGGCGTCGGCCGCGAGACAGAGTTGGCAGGCTCTCCTTGCGAGGTGTGCACAGTGCCGCTCTTGTAAAAGTCAGCCTGGGTGGGTGCGTCCTTGAGCACCTTGACCAGCTGCATCTTTCCTGGCTTCTTGGCGTACTCGATCGTGTCGGCAATCTTGAGGTTGAAGCCAGCAGGCATCACTCTCTTCATCTGCGTAAACATCTCGGTCTTGAGAACACAGTTGAGAAGAGGATCCGCGTCTTGCTGGGAGCCAACGCCCAGAGAGAACCAGTCGTCCCGGGCTGTTGAGGCACCAATGAACTTGATGGCGCCCAATGGGAATGACTTTTCTACCACAATCTGGGGCTGGTTCTGAACAAGCATCTGGGCAACAACATAATATTTGCTGTTGGTGACGATGATGATTCTCGGGCTGGCCTTGCTGGATCGACCAAACTTGGCCTCCAGTATCTCTCCGCGGCAAGAAAACACGACCTTTTCGTTGCTAGAGAGGTTGATCGACTTTCGGATGTGAGCTCCAGGTCCATTGCTGGCGTTGATACCCAGATAATCACCCAAGAACCGTCTGGAGCCCAGGATGCTCATTCTTCTCCGTTCCTTTCGACCTTGCAGAACCCTGTGGCCTTCATCCCGGAGCTGCAGATATTCGGCACCGACCCGCTTCTTTCTCCAGAATCGCTGGATACGGGTAGCAGCCTCTGCCCTGTATGCCAGATATGCACGCCACATGCGCTGGATACGGGTTGCCATGTTGTGCCAGTACCGATCGCGCATATGTTCGAGGGCAAAGAGAGTCTCGGGGGACTTGATAAAGGCCTTTGTGACACCAAGCTGCCATTCCTCCTGCGGAATACTAGTGTCCTTCAGGATCTGTTTGGTCGCCGCTTCATATGAGCCCTCCCACGTGTACTCGCCAGCGTACGAGGTGGCAGGCGACAGCAGGAAGAATCGATCCACAAACTTTTCAAAAGACTGACGGTATGCAAAACCAGCACGACGAATTCGTACGTTCTCCTGCAAACCAAGGTACTTGATCTGATGCAAAACATTGGGGACGGTGTACTCGGTGGGCGATTTGTTCTCGTTGGGCTTGATAGTGCGGATGTACGATGGCTGACATTTCATGAGCGTATCCACCAAGGCGTTGGCCGAAGTCTTGATCCTATCACCGGCTGTTGGGGGTTGCTTTCTGTTGTCTTGGTCAACCTGGTTGGGGAAGAGCTCGTGTACAAAACGATTCTGACTGGCTTGGAACATGTTCAGGAGGCCCTTGAGAAGGAGATCCTTGTTCTTGTCAGTGATGCCGTCCACGGTATACGTCACATCACCAGCATAGTGCTTGATGATGAAGTTGCCCTGGCGAGGAGTGAGATGGGCATTCGACATGCCGTTGATGCTCTGCATGAAGGTGCGATCGCAAGCGGCAGGGTCGGCGTGAGCAGTCTTGGTGGCGTCCTTCATGGCAGAAAAGATGCCCGGAGGCCTGACAGACTCGATGAGATCGCACACAATCTTGTTGTCAAAATACTTGATGGGTGTCCACTTGATCTGCTCTCTCGCGTACTCTTCCTGCTCGGCCTTGAGTGTGAGCTGAATGAAGATCTGTTGTAGCTTTTCGTTGACGTAGTTGATGCAAAGTTGTTCGAAACTGTTCTTCTCAAAGATTTCGAACCCATAAATATCGAGAATGCCAATGGAGTTGGAAGTAGCTTGTCTCGCTTTCAGAGACTGATTAATCCGTTCCACGATCCAGTCAAACAAGTTGTTGTAAATGGCCTTGGCCAAGGCATCTCTGGTAGCCGTTGCCTGGGCCACGTTCGAAGGCGATTCGATTACTTCACCGTTCCGTGGTGTCAGAATGCGAATGGTGATGGCGTGTACAAGTTTCGCCGGATCAACTTCGAGGAGATAGGCCAAAAAGTCCACCACAGACTGGTCAGAGACAGTCGCATAGCCATCATCACCTTCCCGGAACACCAGGTTGCCCGTCCACAAAATGGCGGCCAACATGCGGAAAATGTTGTCCTGTTCTGCTTGGGAAAGGCCAATTATTTTCATGGCGTTGAGCGTATCCTGGTACTCGGCCAAATCATCGATTCCGTCCACATTGAAGCACTTTGATTTGCTGGTGTAGAGGTATGTTTCTGGCTTTTGGATGCCAAACATTTGGCGGTAGTTCTCAGAGGCGCCCTTGGTGAACTGGTAGAAAATGTGAAAGTTGCGCTCGTTGGTAATCTGACCCACGACGCGCGACTTCTCGAGGAGGTAGTTGGTGATGTCGGCGCCAACTGGTTCACCCTGTGCGTTGAAATGGATTTGCAAGTACTTTCCGAACCGAGAAGAGTTGTTGTTCCGCAATGTCTTTGCGTTACCAAACGATTCGAGCAAAGGATTGGTAGCCAAAACCATGTCCTTGATCTGTTGAATATCTCCTCCTGCCTCACCCCCCGAGACGTTCGCGATGTACTGCATGATGCGCTTGGCCGCCTCTGTCTTGCCAGCACCAGATTCACCCGAGATAATCACACACTGGTTCTCCTTGTAGGCCTTCATGTTGTAGTAGGCAGATTCGGCAATAGCGAACACATGTGGTGGCATCTCCAGTCTGTTTTTTCCCCGATAGCTGTTGAGGACCTGGTCGGTGTAGATACCGAGATCCCGAAAGGGGTTGACGGATACCAACACATGGCCAATGTAGGTGTAGATCTGACCGCCCTCGAATCGTTGCTTGAGATTGTCGTTGATGGCCTCGTTCGACACGGTACGCAGCAGGGTCAAGTCGGAGACACCAATTTCCTTCTTCTTGGTGGTGTCGTACGTCGCCTTCTTTGGCTTGGCCGAGCTGGAGGCTCCGCCAGCAGAGCGCTCGGCCCGCGCAGCCTTGTCTTTCGCGCGTCTCGTTATACCCTGGAACGACGGGCGTGGTTAGTGAAGCTATTCACGAGTTTGGACGGGGCAGAAGCATGCCGGCGCCGGCTCCGAAAGCGCAAGCTCTGAAGGCCGTGCTCGTGGTTGCTGGTGCTCACCATGGTGGGCGTATCATGCAGATGCGACTCGAAACGCCAGGAGACGGGGTTGGATTGTAAGAATGATCACGGTTGCGGGCCGTCAGGGCAGGGCCGCAAGATGCGCGGACAACAGATAGGTACTCAGTAATAGGGGCAATGGGCGAGTCCCGTAGTGGCTTGGAAGATGTTGCAAAGGAAGTGGTGGTGTTTGGAAAGTAGTTAGCAGCTGCTTTCCAAGTGCCTTGTCTCCTTTTCCCAAAGTCCGAGGATCCTTGACAGTGTGCAGTGGTGCCTGACAGTGACGAAAGCCCGCCAGAAATTGGTGGGGTTGTTGCTGTTGGCGGGCAGTGGAGGGGAGCTGCCCAATCACAGCAGCCCATTTCAGTAATAAGCCCCGCCACAGCACTCGTGTCGCGATATGCTCAGCCACACCACACACCTCAGTTCAGCAGGTTTGCGTGGAATCTCCATTCTCACCAGAAACTGCCACGCAAGCCGAGCCATGCCAATGCAGGCTCTTTATCTCTCACCGCGCGCGACCTGCCAGACGCCGCTCCTCACCGTTGATAGCGACCTGGGGAGAGAGACTATGGCACGTCGATTCTACACTACCACATGCCCCATCATAGCCTCTGAGACTACGAAACTGTACCCCACGAGAAGCCCATAGTACAGTACTAAGCAGAGTCCACTGCCATAATTGCTAATCTCTCAGACCTTCTTTCATCTGAAGAGGTTCACCATGACACAGGTGCGCCCTGCAGAACTACTCAAGATCCTCTCCACTTCGTTTGCAGGCTGACTCTGGATTTATTCGGCGGTGTCAATCCACGAAACCTGGATCCAGAAAACCGTCAGAACAAGAACTCGATAATGGACGAGGACGAGGAGACTCACTCTTATACCCAGCAGCTGTCCCGAGGGTCTGGCTCAGTGCCTCTCGGTGCTGTCTGGCGTTCAAAAAAATCGTACGATTCCCCACGTGCGGCAGGACCCGGATCCTCTCGAGGCGCCCTCCAAGGCCAGGATAAGATGGTGTGCACCTGGCATGCCACGCGTTTGCAAACAAGCTTAAAAATGTGGATTGTCTTTTGAAGATCTTGATGTCTCAAAGAACATCCATAGATGCTTTCTTCAGCATCGCCGAGGGATATGCTGGTGTTGTTGTTGACTCGGATGAAGTGGCTGAAGAAAAAGGGTGAAGCCCCCCTCGACGACCAACACTCCTCACGTCTCCCACACCACACAACACCAACCAAACGCCCCCGGAAATATCTTTACTTTCTCCGAAGCTTTCTCTCTCCTTTTCTTCAGGCTTGTATCATTGCTTGAAGCGGGTGCCGGTACTGCGTAGCGGGACTAGGCCAGGGCATGTTTCAAGGTCTTGGGCTTGACGGCCATCCCTTTTCGATGCCGCAACCTTCCATCCGATTACGCCTGCATCTCGGTGTCGCAGAGCTGTCCGAGCTCTTGATGTGCAATCCCTCCCTGCACCTGTTCGTTTGAGGCTGTCGGCTAGCAGGGAGTTCTAAATGCATATCCGGTATTGGTGAGGCACCACAAGTCTGAAGCGCTCGTTCGAAGGAAGCGCCTTGTTAGAAACCAGAAATCCCATCCAAGATCGGCATGGGATTCTGTGCTACGTGAACATGGCGTTTGCCGCAGCTGGGCTTTTTGCAACATCCAACAAGCTCTTGATGATTGGCCACACGAGTATGGAATCAGCATTCAACAAGCATGGGCTATGGTCTGTATCTCGGGCCTGCTCGTGCCTCTCTCTAGGTCCCATGATGATCAGCCCGGACATGACAGCGACCTGGTATGGTGGTACATTTACAATCCACACTCCTTCAAGGACACATGCCTGGTCGACGTATCTGAACGAGGCCCCAATGTGCTCACTTATATTTAGACCTTTCTAGCCGGACAGGGAATCTGGACAACACGGTGTGGAACTTTATTCACTTCGGATGATAACTCACGGCCAAGATGTGATGTGATGGGGTTGATAACTGCTAGTCTTTCCTATGACCTAAGCATACATATCCGCTCAAAGCATGTGTAACCATTCAGGAGACGGCGGAATGGAGCACCTACATACCTCGGTGCGAAGATTATCGATGCAGAAATGCAAGTTCTGCAAGTCACAGAATGTGATGTCAAAGACACAGAAGCTCGCTGATTGGTGATTTGGATTCGGCAACATGCGACGGCCTGGAGTGCTCGCAACGTGCCACACCCCAAAGCTGCCTAGCGGCCCGTGGCATCTCTCTCGGAACAAATCGAATTCGATGCTCTCGTTCGAGATCCCAGCCGTTTAAGCGCCCGCGAGGTCTTGGTATCAGAATGCCCATGCCTAAGAATAGGTTGCGGCCGCCGCCGCCTTCAACATTGTCTCTCGTCTTCTTTTTGTGATTTACTCTTTCAATTTCCGTCAACAACATCTGTTCTCTGGAGTTTCTCGACAAATTTGAACACTTTCAACATCGACATTTCTTCAACCGTCCAAACGAACCAACAGCTCGCCAAGCCCAGTGCGGTGACCCCTTTCTCGCCCTTGGCAACAGGACGTTCTCGACACCCCCTGTCAAAACCGAAACATCAGGGTCGCCTCCAAGCTCACCCCCGGTCAAAGCGCCTCTAACAGCTTTCGTCTCAACTTCTGCGCGCCTACCGCCACCAACTCCTTGCCATCTGATAGCAGGCCTCCCCAGAATCTCAGAACCTGACACAGCTCGGGCAACCGCGAAACCATCTCCTACGTCTGATCTCCAAGCATCTTCCCCAACTACGCTGCCGTCTTGCCCTCGCCGCCGACCCATTGCTGCCGCCTTCAACAGCCTGTCTTCTGGCCCCACTACGCGCCTGTCGTTGTACGCTGCTGCCCCCTTCAAAGACAGTTTAGGAGAATTCATCTGGAGGAGGCGAACGAGGTTGCCAGAACCAGTCTAGACGTTTCAGACTTTAACGCCTCTGCTGCTGGAGGAAGTGACTTGTGAGAAGGGCACGGCTTTGGTTGTTGCCGTGACCTCGCCAGGCCCCCTACCCTTGCCCGCCCTCCACTCTGCCTCCACCCTCACCAAGTGGCCCCCTGCTGGACCGCCTGGTGTTTGTGTCCGTGTGCGCTGTGGTGGTAAAGGGTAGTGTTACATCACGTCTTGGTTCCTTCTTTTTTTCCTTCCCCCTGTTTCCTGGGACCGTCTTTTATGACCTTCCCACCACCCACGTATCACCTGTTTCTTCCCCTTCTCTCCCCCTCTCCTTCGTCGTCTCCCTCATTCGACGAGGTAAAAGAAACGAGCCCTCCTCCGCGAGCGACTCCCGTTACTGTCCTTCCTTTCACTTCAGCTGCTGGCTCAGAATCGCTCTTTTATTCCTTTTTTTTTTTTCATATAGCAGACTTTTAGTGTTTGTCTTTATTTGTTCTATTACCGCCGCACTATCGGGTCTCCTAGTTGGTGGATATACATACACATCACACGATTTGGGAGGTGTTAATAATCAAGAGGAAGGAATAGAGGAGAATATCAAGGGTGTGATTTGGACTCGAAAACCACAGCCGCGCCTCATTCCGCTGCCAGACACATACCGAAGGCTACAGAGCCCATAGTCGACGTCACCACGGTCGCAGGTCGACATCACAACAGATCCTATACCTTGAGTGTGTCCTTGTAATAGGTCAAGAGGGGGAAACCAGTCGTCAAAATGGGCGGGCTAGTTCCACTGCTGAAGAAGCAGCTCACGGGGTCGAAGATTCTCTTTCACATCCTCTTCTGGACGTTCCATTGGGGCATCTTTGCCTATGGATGGTATGCTTTTTCAGATTTGTTCTCGGGAGGTGTTGGTCGAGTGGAAAGGGGTTGAGGAAATGGTGGGAGGATACTGAGCTAACGGTTGTGCTGTTTAGGTGGAAACAAGCAGCTGATGCCCGTTTGGCGGGTCTCAACACGCTGCAATACTCTGTCTGGCTTTCTCGTGGTGCTGGTCTAGTATTGAGTGTGGACGGTATGCTTATTCTGCTGCCCGTCTGCAGAACTATCATGCGTTTCATCAGGCCAAAGATCAAGTTCATCCCACTCGATGAGAATATCTGGATGCACAGGCAGCTTGCCTACTCTATGCTGTTGTTCACCATCATCCACACAGCTGCCCATTACGTCAAGTGAGTCTGTCATAAATTGCGAATAAGAGGGTTTTGAGCTGACAGTGTACAGCTTCTACAATGTCGAGAAGACCCAGATTCGTCCTGTAACCGCTGTGCAGATTCACTACGTTCAGCCCGGTGGTGCCACTGGCCACGTTATGCTTCTCTGCATGCTCCTGATGTACACAACCGCCCATCACCGCATCAGACAACAGTCTTTCGAGACCTTCTGGTACACTCACCATCTGTTCATCCCATTTTTCCTCGGTCTGTACACCCACACCGTCGGGTGCTTCGTCCGTGACACAGCCGACGCCATTTCGCCATTTGCCGGTGATGAGTACTGGGAGCACTGCATTGGTTATCTTGGCTGGAGATGGGAGCTCTGGACCGGTGGCTTCTACCTCATTGAGCGGTTGTACCGTGAGATTCGTGCCATCCGTGAGACCAAGATTACCCGTGTTGTCAAACATCCGTATGGTGAGTAACAACTCTGTCCTGATATTGAGAATCTGACTAACAATCGTCAAGACGTCGTGGAGATTCAGTTCAACAAGCCTTCCTTCAAGTACAAGGCTGGCCAGTGGCTCTTCCTCCAGGTTCCTTCCGTCTCCAAGTATCAGTGGCATCCGTTTACCATCACCTCCTGCCCATACGACCCCTATGTCTCTGTTCACATCAGACAGGTTGGTGACTTCACTCGCGAGCTCGGCAACGCTGTCGGCGCTGGCGGCATCCACGCCAAGCTGTATGAGGGTGTCGACCCCTTGGGAATGTACGACGTCGCTCTTGCCAACGGCCAGAAGATGCCCGCTCTCCGCATCGACGGCCCCTACGGTGCCCCCGCCGAGGACGTCTTCGAGAACGAAATCGCCGTTTTGATCGGTACCGGTATCGGTGTCACCCCCTGGGCCTCCATCCTCAAGAACATCTGGCACTTGCGCAACGGCCCCAACCCCCCCACCCGTCTCCGCCGTGTCGAGTTCATCTGGGTCTGCAAGGACACCAGCTCCTTCGAGTGGTTCCAGACCCTCCTCCTCTCCCTCGAGGAGCAATCCGCCGAGGCCGCCCGCGTCCCCGGTTCCAGCGGCGTCGAGTTCCTCAAGATCCACACCTATCTCACCCAGAAGCTCGACATGGACACCACCCAGAACATTGTGCTCAACTCGGTCGGCAGCTCGGTTGATCCCCTGACTGAGCTCAAGGCGCGGACAAACTTTGGTCGTCCCAACTTTGGCCGCATCTTCCAGAGCATGAGCGAGGGTATCCAGAACCGGACTTATCTCAACGGCCTCGAGGGCAACATGAGGACGACGGTCGGTGTTTATTTCTGCGGTCCCTCGGCTGCTGCTCGTGACATCAAGAAGGCGGCCAAGGCTGCCAGCAGCAGTGAGGTGCGCTTCCGGTTCTGGAAGGAGCACTTCTAAATGTACATTGACATTGACCTGACACATATCAATAATACGGAATTTTTCACACCGACACGTCGGCGTACGGTTGTACGATCAGGGTTTCTGGATGGGATTTTGGTGACTGGGCTTTCAGGCGGCAAGACTATGCTGTCCTCGTGCCGAGGAAAAAGATACACCAAGTCACACGAGAAACCAAAACTCAAGAAGGGCTACGACATCACTCACCAAAGATAACGTCTTCCCTTTTTATGTCTATGGAATTAGGGGATGGGAACAGAGATGATGAAGATGGTTAATTTTAGCGGGCACCTTTATGTGGATTTTTTTTTATATCTGTTTGTTTTTTTATTCTTCCCATGGCGGATCTTTGTTGGATATACCTTGTCAAAATGAAAGTATATATCACACATACATGACTGAATTGCAAAGCCAATTTTGCATACCATACATGAAAGAAAACAGCGTCTCTGTACAACTTTGCTAATGATGAACATGACATGTCCAAGACGAAACAAAACGGCCAAGACATAGCCGCGTGGTTCGACACTTGAAGCACAAAGTGTCACAGAACAGACCCACGTTATCGCTGCTGGGTTTACATAATTGGCCGAGGACAAGATGGGACGATAGACTGACAGCGGCGGGTAGCTAGGACACCGGATGGTCATTTCGCCGAACACGCAAAGCATGACAAATGGCTGGTTGGCCGGCTCCTTTGATATATTCCATAATGTCATCGTGGGCAAAACAGCAACGTCAGAATGAACGGTAACATTCGAACAAACAAAAAAAATAGATTTAAACGATATAGCAAACAAAAAAACCAAGACAACAACTACTATCCAATAAACGCCTTTTTGCCTTTCCCACCCTAAAGCTCCTCCGGTTCCCCTTCTTGATCACCCCCAAACGACTGCTTGATAGCAGGATAATAAATCGTTTTATCAATATGATAGGGTTGCCAAGCCACCCCCAAGCCCCCAGTCGTTGACTGCCACCACTTCTTGAGAGTCTCCTTCAAACCCGACCTAACCTTGGCCGGCGCCTTGGGATCCTTTCTATGTCTGGCAATCTCCAACTCCAGCTCCCTCTCCTTCCTCTGGATCTCCTCCAGTTCCTTCTTCTCCCTTGCCTTGGCTTCTCTCAGCTTCTTTTCCCTAGCCTCTTCCCTCTCCCTCTTTCTCCTCTCTTTCCTGGTCTCCTGCTCCCGTCTGGCAGACTCTTGGGCTGCCTCGAAAGCCAACCTCTCCTCTTCTCGTTGACGGAGTTCCTCTTCGGTAGCACCGCCAAACCAGCCATACCAATTCGGCTTGACGTACTTCTTCCACTCTTCCCCTTCCTTGACCTCCGCTTCAACGCCTTCCCGTTTGGCCTTTTCCTTGTCACCCTTAAAGACAGGCAGCTCCTTGGCCTTCTCGGTAAGCAGCTCAAAGTAACCAGGCGTGTGCTCCTCCCAAACCTCCGGGCCTGGCTCTTCTCCCGCACGAGTCCACGACCTCTTAAGCGTCATCCTCCTACCGTTGGGGCCCAGAGGAGCAGGAGTGATAGGGCCGGGGAAGATCTTGTCAATAACCTTTGTAACTTCGATATCATCCGCATCCTCTTCCAGCTCCTTCTCCTTCTCCTTCTCCAGCTCCCTTGCTCGTCGCCTAGCCCGCTCCCTAGCCTTCTCCTTCTCCGCCTCAAGCTCCTTGTGCCTCTTCTCATAGTCACCCCCGCCGCCAAACCAAGGCACGGTGTACGAATGCCCCTCGAAACTTGGGACCGTAATCTTTTGTGTGTAAACTGTCCCCTCGTAACCAGAGTGTCCAATCACCCAGGGTTCCGACGGCTGCAACGATGGGAACTTGAAGCCCAGCGCCCCCAAGATGGTGTACCAAACCGCGGACAACAAGTACATGACAGCCTTTGCAACATTTGATGCCGCGGTTAGGAGCCAAATGATGACGTCGAGGATGAGAATAGCCACAAGTTTAGCCAAGGCTAGACCCAACTGGGGGATGATCCAAAGGACGGGCGCAAAACGAGACAGGAGGTACAGCACGAGGAGGGAGACGCCCAGCTTGACGAAGCGATCCCACCACTTCTTGAACCAAAGGGCGTCCTTGTATCGGAGCCATTCGAGAAGGGTGGGAGTGCCCTCGGCGCCCAGACCGCGCGGATCAGTGCGGCCCTGGTAGTACACCACCTGACTCTTGAGCAGCGTAGAGATGGACTCTCCCTCCGTGCTCGTCTTCAGCCTCGGGTCGATTTCGCCCATCAGCCCGTACCTCTCGCACTTGGGCCAGACAACAATTTGCACCTTGGCCAGGTACGGCGGCGACCTCCACACGATGTCTCCCAGGCCGGGCTTGGAGTCCCAGGTTGGGAACCCGCCGTACTTCTCCACCTTCTTGTACAACAAGCTGGGGAAGAAACCGAGCACGGCCCAAAGAACACCCCAGAATCCTAGCTGCTTGGTCTTCTCCCACAACGCATACGTAGGGCGGTAGTTTGCTGGGTCTGACTCGTAAATCAGATTCTCTTTTGCCCATTTTTGCTTCTCCATCCCTTCGAGGCGGGCAACGGCGAGTGAGGACTCGTGATAGACTCTATCGTCGACATTGTTTTGGTCAATGGCCCACGTCTGACCCAGGAATGGGGCAGTAATCCGGAAGATACTCTTCGAGTGAGCCATATGCAATGACAAGAACCCGGCTTCGGAGACAATGTCGTGGATCTTTTGATGAAATCCCCAAAGAGACTTGACCCGACTGTTGTTAAAGTTCCGGTCCATCAGCTTCAACAGCGGGAGCAACAAAGTTGTGATTTGAATGCTGAGTTGGTCAACATGTTCCCAGAACTTGGGAGTGAGCTCCTGGTTACGCATATACATGTCGATGCATTCCGACCGAAGCCTTGTGCGCCGGTAGCCTAAGTTATGTCATGTCATGTCAGTCATGTCCCCCCCTTGATTTTAAAAAAAAAAAGGCAACTCACCTTCACCCAACTCCAAAGCCTTATCAGATGCCTCCAACATCGCTCTCGATTGCTCATCAGCACCAAACAACAAATCATCAAACACCTGCCGCTCCAAAATCTTCCCAATCACCCCCGCGACAACCAACTTCCTCTGCACCGCCTTGGATAGCATCACATCCCACCCCCCCTCAAACCCATTATCCTGCCTAGCCACCTGACTAATAAACCAAACCAGATTCTTCGTGCTCCCCACCCCGCCCGTAGTCCACACCTTATCAATCATCTTCACATCCAGTATATTCCCCCCATTCGGCACCTCCTCCCCAAACCCCAGCCCCTCCCCAAAGTACTCCTCCGCAAAGTGCGACGCCTTGAGGTACAAATCCTGCCACACAGCCCCAAACCACTCATTCCCCGTCTCGGTCCCATCCTGCGGCATAGGGAAATTAAACCTCAACCTCGTCGGCGCCCAAGCCCCCAACAACTCCCTCCCCACATCCCTCCCGCACGGCCGAACCCTCACCTGCCCCTCGACAACCTCCTCCAACCAACTCCTCACCCCATCCAACACCCTCCCATCCTTGGCCGCATCCGCCGGGTCCCGCTGCGGATCCCCATGCACCTTGACAAGCGGCTCATGAATAGCAAGCTTCTCCGCCCTCTGGTTCAGCACAACCGGGTCAGCGTCATTGTTCCGAAACACCTTCTTCTGGCTCTCCGAAAGCTTAGGCTTGACGCTCGTCTCGAGGTCGCCGAGTTTGAACCGGAGCCGGTCAGGGATGTGGTATTTACTCTCGAGGATAGCCTGCTGGGCGGCCCGGTGGGCGTTCCAGTCGGCTGTGGTCATCTTGCCGGTGGTTCTTTTGCCGGTCGGGTCAGAAAAGCCACGCCTGCCTTGGGAGGGGGAGCGCCGGCGGCTTGAGCTGTCTGTCGAGCCTGCAAAGGTGATTCTGGCTCCTTCGGGGAAGGTTTGGTTTTGGGGAGTGGCACGCTGAGGGTTTGAGGGGGTGCGGCGGCGCTCGGGGGTTTTGCCTCCGCGGAGGTGGGGGGATTCTGGTGAGTCGTCCATGGCGGCGGCGGTTCTCAAACGAGGTTGTTGCAAGAATCGTCGTGATGATGATGTAGAGAGTGCGAGGCTGGGTTGTGCTTCTTTGATCTCTGGTTCAGGCTCAAGTCCCGAGACGTGCTGTTCGTCTTCAAGCGGTGATAGATGTCTTTCCGAGGGTGATGAAGAAGCAGGATAAACACTGGCCGCCTCTGGGTCCTCGTCTTCTTCCCCTTCCCAGCTGTTGTTGCCGTCTCGTCTTCTTTCCCCAGCAGACTCTAATCCCACCTCTTCTTCTTCTTCTTCTTCTTCTTCTTCTTCTTCTTCTTCTTCTTCTTCTTCTTCTTCTTCTTTCTCTTGGCTTTCAAGATGATGATGATGATGATGATGATGATGATGCTTCCTCTCCACGTTTTCTCTCGACGCAAGCCTAGTCGATCTTCTCCTCGGTGCAGGATCAACACCGGCAGAAACCAATTTGGCCGACCGTCGAGGCATTGTAAGAGATTTTTAGAAAACAAAACCAAACCGCAACGAATGGCCTCTTGTTTAGCCTTCAAAGAAAAATACACATGTAGCTCGAGGGAGCAAGTAGCTCAAAACGGTGGACACCATACATTGAACAAAGAAGCCAATTGTAATGATAAGAAGACTTGTTCATCCGGAGTAGGAAATAAAGGGGCCAGCGCGTGCAGCCGCGTGCTTTGTTGTGTCGAGGAATGCGGACTCCATTCCAAGGGGTTGAGTGCGTGTGTGCCATGGCTTCAAAGGGTGGCCGCGTTCGGAATACTCGTAAACAATTGAATGACATGCACAAAAGGGAGACAATGGGCGACCCTCATTTTGTTCTCCTGTACCGAGGGCGGGTACCTGTGACGATTGTAAGCCAAGGGCAAAAAGAAAATGGCATGGGAAGTGCTTACTAGCTTCAACCTAGACTTTGCTTGCCGGGGAATCGAGCATAGATAATCCTTCTAGACAGAGGTGTTCATTGACAACAGCCTGTAGTAAATTCCATCGGTCTTCAACAAGCCTCAGAATATGAGAGTCCAGCTCCCAAAACAAATCAAGCTTGAAAAATTTTTCCGCTGATTCTCCGTTGCGCGCGATGACCTATATCAATACATATACACAGAAAGAAGCCCAAGTGTTATAATAATACCACGCTGATTTGCCCTGTCGTACTGAAGCAGTGCCTAAACGCTCCGTCCAGAAACACCACCGAAACTGAAGCCATAGATTGATCCGCCCACCCATTTCCTTTTCCCACAAATAGACAAGGAACCAGAAACAGAATAAATCGCCACCGCCCAGATACATGCCTTGACGCCAAAATAACGACTCCTTGAAGATTCTAGTAGACTCTCGTGAGGTGGACATTCATGGTCAGCCTCTCTACCTCGGCGCTCGCTCCATTTTCCAGCTTTTGACCCTTCGGCAGTGATGCCACGACTGTAACGACAATCATGTTCGTGCCCAGAGTTAAACCCAAGTCAAACACCATGGCGTTTAGTGGCAGCGGATCATCAGGTGCAGGAATCGGGGTGGCTCTGCCCACCATCTGTCCATTGATCTGAACGATGAGCTTGTACTGACGTCCCTGTTGTTCAAAGGGCGCCAACCGGGGAACCAACTGCAGTCTGCTGTGGCTAGCCGGCAAGTGGAAAGTGACACTCTGCTGAGCCAGCTTTGGGTCTGCTGGAAGTTCCATCCGAAATCGGCGGTCCCCTGGAACTGTTGGATGTGTCCGGACAAGAACACTGGGCAACAAAGAGTCGGCAATACCTGTTCTCCAATTAGCAGTGTGCTCATCGAGCCAAAATAACACATCGAAACTCACCTCTACCAGGAGCGCGAACCAAGTTGTCCCACAGAGGAGGTGGCGGTGCAGGCGCAGGTGCTGGTGCAGGAGGCAGATGGCCATTTTGAAGTGCTTGATGCGACCCTGGGTAACCGTGCTGCCCATTCATCATCATCATGGGACTCGGAACATGTCCATTCGGCCGTGGAACCATACTTGGTGGCCCAGGAGCGATGACAGGGGGGCTCGGGGACCCTCCAGCTGAGGGTAAACTCATAGGTTTGTCCAGCTGGAAGCTGGCAGCGGTTGTAAATGACGCCTGGGGTGGAATAGGGCCGGATTCGCTAGAGCGGTTGGTCGGTGGTGCTGGTGACCCTGTTGCGCTGCCTTTAGACCCGCCGACATGGATCGTGATCTTTTTGGCACCCAGTACCGGAGTATCCTGACCCGAACCAACCTTGAGCTTAATCTTGGGCTGCTGAGGTGGTTCCGGGACTACTGCCTTCGCCGCGTTGAGCTCATCATAAAAGGCTTGCTGTAAGGTCATGGGTTAGCACTGCTAGCTGGCAGACCGTCTTCAATCTTCATACCTTCAACTCTGTGGCTAGGGTGTGGATTTCACTGCCATCCTCATTGTAGAAATGAGCGTTGGTCCAAAGAAGGCTGGCCTTTTCCTCAAAAGCTGCCCAGCTCTTGAAGTCGCTGATACCAGTGGCAGCTTGTCGACCATGAATGCCCTTGACGAGTTTTTGAAGCCCCTTTAACGACAACGGAGAGGTAATGACGGCAAAATAATCCTTGAAGCTGCGTGGTGGGAGATTGATAAAGTCCAAGAAATGAGGGCCACCGCTGTAGGAGCAGAGTTAGCAAGGCTCGGTGCACAGAGTCGCATGACAGGTGTTGCTTACTCTTCGTCTGGCTTTCGAATAAGCTCCTCCACGATTTTCTCCTGCGCGTGTTGGAAGTTCAGTCCCTTGTACGGGACGCCCTCGAACTCATGGTCTGCCTTGGCCCTCCCACTTCTGTCACGTCTCCGCACCGAGTCGGGCCCACGTTTAACGCCGTTGTTGGAATCCCTTCGCTTCAGGATGATTTTTCTCGGGTTTCCGTCGTCCTCGTCGTCCTGTTCGTCTTCCTCGTCGTCTTCACCCGCGTCCTCGTCTTCCTCGCCTTCGGCATCATCTTCGCCAGCCGCGTCCTCCTCGCCACCCCCTGCGTCTTCATCCATGAAATCCGTCGACTGCAAATCATCAGGTATAGGCGCAGCAGTGCAACTATAGCCCTGTACCAACTTGTAGGCCGGGTTCGTCTTGGTCATGTAGTTGCTCAGCGCTTTTCTGACACGCTCGGCGTCCTCGAAAATCTCGGAATTCTTGGGATAATACTCCTTCGCATTGGTGACCATTCGCTTGAAGTAGCTTTCGAGTTCAGACATGTTGGCAAAGTCCTGGTTGTGGAGTTTGCGCTCAATTATTTTCAGGGAGATGGGCATGCGAATGCGCGCATAGTAGTCCTTGTTCTTCTCACGGGGGAGGAGATTCTCAAAGTAGCTAGCCACAAGTCGTCCGCTGCGAAGCCATTGTTGTTAGATGTCATATATCCCTAGACCCGGGAAGACAAGCCTATACTAACCTCTTGTCCTTCGTTCTGCGGATGGTTTCCAAGAAAACAAGGCCGTAGGCGGAGGTCGACTCGGGGCTTTCGCCCTTCAGCAGGTCGTACTCTTGTGGAGGCTGTCCCCATGGTTAGTTAATGGCCGTGTTGACATTGCATCCCAAGTTCCAAGGTGTGGCAGATGTGCGCCACGAGCAACGGGAAACTCTTGGAGAAAGACGTACCCTTGGGACCTTGCGTCGTTTGGCAGCTCGGTCGTCATTCTCGGCGGCGCCCGTCGGGCCCGCTTTCCGTTTGTTGTCCATTGCGCGGTGGTGCAGCGGATCAGATTTGGCAAAAAACAGATCAACTCGATGGCAGCTGTCGCGATGGACGTGGTGCAGGCGCCTCAATGGGCGACTTGTGACGGAGGGCGGCGCGCAAGCTGTTGCTCTGCGGCTGTGGGAGACGCGTAGCAATTGTGCGGGTGCAGGTGCGGGTGCGGTGCCGTCTCGTCTCTTTGGGTGGGCGCAGCGCAGTCAAGTCAGGAGTCCCGCAGCCCAGCCAGCCCCCTGCGATGGATATACCTAGGTATGGATGACTTAGGTGATGGACGGGGTGCAAGTCGTGTCGTGTCTGCGAACTGTAGGGAACGAATCACTGCAGTCCAGGCAGCTGTCCAGGAGCGGTGCAATTTTGGCGCTCCAAAGGGCTGGGAATTCAGAGTTTTGCATACAGTTCAACCTCCAACTGTCAGCAGGCGCTCCTGTCCCAAAAGTGTACCTGGCTTCGGGGAAGGTACCACTGAGCAGGGGCCCACACGCGCATGGACCGGGGCTTCCCTTGTTCCTCGCCTGATATGTTAGGCATCTTGAGTTGAGTTGCTTATGTCATCCGGCACTTTGCACCTTTGAACAATGCGACAACGAGAAACAGCCCACAGGATGGAAGGGACGGGGCAAGAGCAACCCTTGGATGCTTCTTCAAATACCTATCTATTATTCAGAGTCTAGAGTAAGCCTATTGTTTGCGAGAGATGTCAAGCTATCACCATGCCACTTTCTCTACCTTGTGGCCCGTGCCAAGCTGCCAGTGGGCCGGAAGGGTCAAAATTTTAGCGTATGGCAAGTGCGGCAGGGCCCTTCCAAACACATGAACCGATTTGTTTACGTTCGGCCTCTTTCTGTTCCCCTCCTCCACCAGCGAAGTCGCACGCGTCAACACCGACACTCAACGCGCAAAACGACAGCTGTTTTTTCACCCGAGCTAGCAGACGCTCCCCCTTACTTCTTCCGGTCGCATTACCAACTTTGAATTCTAGAGGACCACTTTGCCTAGCCCATCTCCAGTTGTCGGCCTCCTCGATTTGGCCCGATATTACCCCACGTACCCAAAGTGCAGGGCTAGACACGACTATCGCGCGACCTTGATACTTTTTCAACCCAACATCACTGCGCCCTTTTTCCTCAGGACGCCCTTTCGATTCTCGAATATCTTCTCGCGACATATATTTGATTTTTAAACTTCCCGGCTATCCCGACATCAACCTTCAAAATGGCGACACTAGATGAGATGGGCATTGACACCTCCCGTCGCAACCCAAGCCCACGCCCGCTGTCAGACAGCGAGCGGGCACGTCTGGAGGAGTTTATTGAGGCGATCCACTACTCTACACGGTAAGTAGCGCCGCTGGATGTCAACCGCGCCATATTGTCGGTTCGATCAAGCCTAACATCTGCTAGCTACAATGACAACGAATACGAATACCGCCACGTGCAGCTTCCCAAGGCTATGCTCAAGGCCATTCCCAAAGACTATCATGACCAGTCCAAGGGCACTCTGAAGCTCCTGTGGGAGGAAGAATGGCGGGCGATGGGTATCACACAGAGTCTTGGGTGGGAGCACTACGAAGTACACGAGCCAGAGCCTCATATTCTCCTCTTCAAGTGAGCACTCCTGCAACCATGAGTCTCATGCCAAGGACTACAGGCTAACATTTGGTTCCAGGCGCCCACTGAACTACCAACCTCCGCAGTGAGGAGCTACGAGGTCACAAAGTAATAGTAGGGGACAGCTGTACGATTAGCGCTCGGGGCCAGGCCCACAACCAGACACCGATCATCACCTTATTAACTGGAGAGGCAAATGCTGCCCGCTGATGTGAGGGCAGCAAGGCTTCTGGCTATCATGTCTCGGGACACGTACCTGGGCGTTGACAGTCGACTTTCGATCTTGAGGCGCCACATCTGCGAAGAATTTACGAACATTGATAGGCTCTGGAATATGGAGGAGATGAGCGCATGGGTTGAGCCGCGATACAGGAGCAAGATTTTGGACGGCCATTGGAGGGCCGAGGCAGAAGTGGCTGGTGGACATTGGCCAGGGGGCGACGAAATAATGAAAACCGGGACAAAGCTGTCCGGACATGCAGATGATGGATTGTTGGTTATGTAGCGATGAATTAAGAAGAATAATCAAACTTTCAGGCCCGTATGGGAAGTTTCATCGAGACAGGCGTCATGAGTTATATACACCCTTGATTAGATGCCCCCCCAGTTGGTGATTGATCGCGGGGTTGAGGCGATCTATCAAAGTACGGTTACATCCCGTTCCAATGCGCCACGCTGGCAGTTTTGGGAACTGAATAAGGAAAAGGCAGGACAATGAACACTCTTGCATATCGCGTACGAGCAAGCGCCGGGCCACAGTCCGTACTCAGAAGGATGCACTGATACGCTGCCAGTGCTCTCCTCAGATCCGGGAACCAAAGAAGGCAACAAGTGTCAGCCGGTTTTCGTGATTTGCAAGCAATCCGATCGTTCGTCGGCAGATCGACATCTGCTGATTTTCATTCTGGCCACATTTCCTCTCGCAACCCCCCCCCCCCCCCCAGCCACTACGGGCAAATTCCTGTTGGCCATATCTTCTAAAAGAACAACATATTATCCCACTGACCACCTGGTCTTTACCACTTTCTGCATTTACTTCGTAGCTGCTGCCACAGGATCACATCATTCCTGTCCACTTCTTCTGCGCATCCCTTCTGTAATCTTTCCAGAAAACGCCAAGCGCACCGTCGATCGCCCTTCCCGCTCGGCCACAACGGCCTCCCGATAAGACCTCTTATCGCCAATTGCCATCTCGGGACGCTGACGTCGGACCACATATCATATAAAACGTCCACGTTTCAGGCCCGGGTCTCTGGACAGCATACCAGACCACCAAGACAAAGACCGTTCGGTTACACCCACATAGAAATTACGGATCACGAATATTCTCATTCGATAGCAGCAACATCCAGCCGACCATTCTGCCCAGACCGTCCCATTTGTTTCGAGGCCTTCCACAGGTTCCCCCCTCCTCCTTCACCATGAAGACGGCCGCCCGTCTCTTTTATCTTTCAGTCTTTGCGCTCTGGAGCCCAGAAGTGCAATGCCAAAACTCACAACCTTCGGCATCACCACCAGCGCCACCTCAAGATGCTTGCGCGGTACGCTTTTCTTATCAGCCCTTGCCCCTTTCTTTTCTGCCGTGCAGATGCATTAGCCCCACCATCTAGATCCAGTTGCGCTACTGCCGCTGTTGCAACGGCGGCTGATCTTCATGTATATCATTCTAACGGTTCCCTCTGGCAGATATCGCCAAAAGCTATCGTGAGCGACGCCTGTGCCTCGTACTCGACGCTCGAGCGGCTCAATCGCAATGTCAAGCCGGCCCTTGACGAGCTCACCCAGACGACGGACTTCTTCAGTCACTACCGGGTGAATTTATTTCACAAGAAGTGCCCGTTTTGGAATGACGAGAATGGCATGTGCGGGAACATTGCCTGCGCGGTAGAGACGCTGGATAACGAGGAGGATATCCCGCCAGTGTGGAGGGCTAAAGAGCTCGGAAAGCTCGAGGGCCCGAGGGCGCAACATCCTGGCAAGGCGGTTCAAAAACAAGAGCCAGTACGACCGCTGAAGGGGAAGTTGGGTGAGGGGGTTGGGGAGAGTTGTGTGGTTGAATACGACGACGAGTGTGACGACAGAGATTACTGCGTTCCCGAAGACGAGAGCGCTACGTCCAAGGGGGATTATGTGAGCTTGCTGCGGAATCCCGAGAGGTTTACTGGGTATGCTGGCGATGGCGCCAAGCAGGTGTGGGATGCGGTATACCGAGAGAACTGCTTCCAGAGAAGCTCTTTTCCCCATTATGCGGCGCTTGGAAAGGATACCTCGGCTCGTGGACCAGCGGCGATGGATTTCAAGGCTGTTCTTGACGCTGCTGGGCGCCAGCATGTTCTTGAGCAAACCAGGGAGCACAACCCCCTCACCCCGTTCGTTGCCAACACCGGTCTCGAAGCCGAGGACGAATGTCTCGAGAAGCGTGTCTTTTACAGAGTCATGTCTGGCATGCACGCGAGTATCTCGACCCATCTCTGCTGGGACTTTCTCAACCAAACCACCGGTCAATGGCAACCCAATCTCGCCTGCTACAAGGCTCGTTTACACCAGTTCCCGGACCGCATCAGCAATCTCTATTTTAACTACGCCCTCCTTTCCCGCGCCATCGCCAAACTCGGCCCCTATCTCACCGCCGAGCAGGGCTACACCTTTTGCACGGGCGAACCGGCTCAGGACGCCGAGACGCGTGAGAAGGTCTTGGCTGTCACCACCAAGGCCGCGAGCGTGCCTCAAATCTTTGACGAGAGCCTCATGTTCAAGAATGGAGAAGGCCCTTCGCTCAAAGAGGACTTCCGCAACCGCTTCAGGAATGTCAGCCGCCTGATGGACTGTGTCGGGTGCGACAAGTGCCGACTGTGGGGCAAGCTGCAGACGGCTGGGTACGGAACTGCGCTGAAGGTGTTGTTCGAGTTTGACAATAACGACCACCCGCAGGTTCCGGTGTTGAAGCGGACGGAATTGGTGGCGCTTTTCAACACGTATGCCAGGTTGAGCAGCTCGATGAGCGCTATTCAAAAGTTTAGAGGGATGGTTGAGGCAGAGGATAACAAGGGGGCTAAGAAGGTGGTTGTGAACAAGATTCTGAGTGTGGGCCCTATCAAGAAGGCGCTGGATGAGCAGGATGTGGATGAGGTGGAGACCAAGAGAGAGGAGAGGATCCGCCGGGAGCCAAAGTCGAGTTCGGAGGCCATGGCGGAGGAGTGGGAGAATATCAAGAAGGTGACGATGTTTGTGTTAAAGGGGTGGATCAGTTTCCCTGCCAAGGCGTAAGTTTTTTTTGTTTTCTTTTTTTTTCTGTTTGAAAACCAATGCTAACGGTTCTCTAGTTGGGTTGTCCTTTCTCAAGAGGCTGCGCGCTTTTTGCAGTTTTTCCTGGGCTTGCCGGTGACTCCAAGGACGTGGACGTTGGAATTCCCTAGAGTGGACGAGCTCTAGAATGGCTGTGATAGCGGTGGTCTAGTGAGTCATTTTTATCATGCGTTGGGGTATGGTATGGCTGTAGCTATATACAAGTGGCATGCCTCACTCTGGCGTAAGATGCTGGAGATGGGCCCGGACTATTTCTTGGTTGGCTGCGGGATAGCTGGCTGCCTGTGTTATTGGGTTGTGACGTCTTGAATGGAGCCTGGGAGTTGATGAATCGTTATTGGCATGGCAGCAATTGGGTGGGCGTTTGTTAGTATATATTTTTGGGCAGCGTTTGTAACTAGCAGGTGAAAATTCAGTTTGTACCGAAGATGTGATGATTATATTTGACTTGTGGTGCAACCAAGCAGGAACTGAAGAGAGCGCAAGTCTTCCATCCCTTCCCTTCAACATGAGTATGTCCTAACAAATACAGGCCAGCTCCAACCATGCCTTCAATATGAAGATGCTCCCAAGAACAAACTACCAATCCCACTGCCCGCCCCAAAGCAAGCCCTCCATCCCGGCAGACACAAGCTGCTCGTCCAACTCCCCTAGGTTATTATCACCCCTTTTTCCGGCTCACCCTTCATGACCTCTTGCAAAAACTCCCAAGCCTATTTCTGCTCGGTTGTTTTCTCGTCTAGATCATTTACTTAGTCCTACATCCCCCAAACAACCTGAAATCACTTCTCACCTTCTCACCTTCAAGAGGTCATTTCTAGGAAACTTGTGATGTGATGGCAATCAAGAAGAACGTCAGTATAATGTGGTTTATGAATTGATCGCTTATTAATCTTCTACTAGCTATCCCGGCGTCTAGCATTTGTGATCCAACCTGCTCCCTGACACTTCCCATCACCGCCTCGATACATCTGCCGAGCGAAATCATACCCCGTATCATCATAACCCAAGCAAAGCACTGTGCTTCCTCTCCCTCCTCTCCTCATCCTCCTTCCTCAGCGGAATATTCGTCACCACATTCCCAATCTTGACCTTGATGCTGTGGATGGTCAATTTACCCATTCCGATGACAGTCCGGATCTCGGGTTTTGCAAAAACCTCTTTTGTGATACGCTCGAGATGATCCGACGGCTTACCCAGACACCAAGCAATCGAAAAGTGAAAGGCGTCCGCAACATCCTTCCCCTCTGCAGCCGAGGCCCACGAATAGAGCTGGGGCTGGCCGTATATATTAGCAAGCTCGTTAATCTTGGACAAAAGGTACACGAGCTCATTATTTCGAGACGGGCAGACCACTCTCAGCACCAGAAACGCCCGTCCGCTCTCCGAGGTAAAATGCCATTCCACCCTCCCGAGCCGTATCTCGAACGGCTGGTCTCCAGCGAGTATCTTTTGAAGATCGGACAGAAACTGGTCTTTCTGGAACGTGCTGAGATTAAGAGGACGGGAGAGGCTGATGTGCAACGGTAACGGCACGCCTAGGTCACTCTCCAGAAAGCTGGTTATTTCTACTTCGGGGTCTATCTTGCGAATCTGTGATCGGACTGAGTATATTAGGCCTGATAGCATGCGCTTGAACTCTGGCGGTGGATGCCATTCAATGTAAACATGGCTGGGCCAGTTCCCAGGGATGTGTGGTGTTTGTCTGGTTCGACCTTGGTGGAGGGAAGGGTCATCAAAGGTGCGGGCTGTGGAGGCGTAGAGGTCGTGGAATGATGCCGGGAGAGGAGGCAGATCCGGAGACGGGCCGCTAGATAGGGCCGTAGCCGTTCCGGTGCCAGATGCACCTAGTCTTGGCTTTTTGGCTGGCGGAGGAGCTGGGTTGGCCGTGTCGGCGTCCGAGTCCGAATCGGATCCGTAATCCACCAGCGGCGGCATGGCAGGTGACGCGGCTAGCTAGGCACCGGCGGTGGCTGGGGTCTTCAAATGGGCAAGAATGCAGCATATGGAGATGAGGCCGGTGTGAGAGGTTGGTCAGACTCTGACAGACCCAAGGCCGTGTTTCGATATCGATGCTGCAAAGGCCCAGGCTGTGTGAGACCTATACGGACTGGAAGGTAGCGGACGGCAGCCAATAACGGCCCGGTGTTTGGACTTATTCCTGCAGGGACCTGGGACCTGACTGTTTGAACTCTATGGAACACTTGTCGGGGAACCGGCGGAGGCAGCGACCATCTGGCGGATTTTGTCTCCGGATTCCATTGGCCAGTGCGTCTACAGTTTGACTCCCCCAACCAATCACAGTCTCAAACCAACTGCCTTTGGCATATTCAAGGGCGTCACCACTCGTCGACGGGTAGTATGAAAGACCTATGTATAGGTGGGCTGACCGGCATGAAGAGTTTGATAACGGGCCATATCACGCATAATATGGGAGATGGTGCAGAAGTCTGGGTAAGGTTGAAGAATAGCTCGTTGCCTATCCCGGGCATCACGCTGACGATCCCTTGGCTTGGACCAGTCTGGAGCTCAGGTCTGGACCACCTGTTCGTTGCATCCCCTGGCTAATTAAGTCTGGTGACGTCTACTACCAAAGGCGAGGTCCTTCTTCTGCAGCAGAATCCAGAGGTTACACATAACTGTTTTGAGTCTGGAACTACTGCAGGAGGGAGAGGCCCCGCGCGCCGTTTCTCCTGCCGAAGAAGGCCGCTTTGGAAAAATGATCATAAGGACACCTGGTCGCACAGCGTCGTCTGCAATTTTCCTCTTGTTCTTTGTGTGTATCTAGGAATCTGGTCGATATAAGACTCTCATTGTGTGTTTTACATCATTCCACTGTTCTTCTTTGTTCTTTGGTTCACATCTCGACCCAATCTGGAAATATATTCACCTCCCACTTACACGGACCCAAGACCCCACTGAAACAGCTCCCAAGACCCGCCTACCAGCTTTGCGCCCTTGCCGCTAAAATGCCAGCTGGGAAGACGCTGGACGAATTTGGCAGGGATGAATATGGCCTGCCAGGAGACAAGCAATGGGTAAGCTTGTTTTTAGATGTTCAGTTCGTTTCCGTCTGCGAGATGAGTGGGTAAACCCTCCGGAAGCTCGGGGGTTTTGGTCTTATACGTGAGGTCTTTTCATAGGATGGCGTCAGCGGCAGCTGCTGTGCTGGCGGCTTGGTTTTCGTGGACGGTGACGATCCTGACCTACACTTGCGTCACTCCCGGGATTCCTTGGCATCACTTCCAAGTTCCTTGATACCAACTCCGGGCCCTAATAAATAGCTTCAACACGAGATTTCGACCTTTGAACAAAATCTTGAACAGAATACTGAATAGAAGAGTTACATAGGCTTCAAAATATCTCTTAGAGCCACTATATGAGCCTGAACCAAGCCAGGTTTGCGCAACAAGATTTACACCCCTGCCACCATCGCCACCAGCTTCAACAAAGTCGCCAACAACACCAACCCGCTCGGCAGTTGGCAGCATCCGACGAAAGTTTCAGCACACCAGGAACGTATCTTATACCGAAGGTGACGAAGAAGAACAGCCTTTTCTCCGTCGTCTCCTGAGCAGAACAAGCAGCATCCGAAGCACCCGCAGCAGTCTCAGTCTGAACAGGCAACTCCCGCCCTCACCACCAGGAGTAGACCGCACCCTATCCACCCGCTCAGCCATTCCACTCAGACCAAGCCACAACCGCAACTGGTCCCAAGGCACAATCCTCTCCCGCGCCAACAGCGTAGCAACTTCTACACCAACATCCCCCAGACCCCCCAGCAAAATGTCCAACCAGTTCTTCCCCTCCACCACCACCACCACCACCCGCAACCGCTCCTCCTCCCTCAACCACCCCCCACCACCCCCATCAGACGAATCCTTCCCCATCCGCCGCGGCAACTCCCTCCGCCTCAAAGACCGCTACCCAGGAGACCAATCCCACCGTCCCCTAGCTATGCTCTCCTCCTCCCACCGCGCCGCCAACCGCCACGTCCGCCCCACCTCTTCCCACGCCCGTCCCTTTGCCGACCCAATAGACCAGCTGGACCAGTCCTCCCCCTTTTCCCCCTACCACCACCCTGGCCCGTATGACCCCACGCTGATCCCGTACAACACCAACAAGAAGTACTCTCCCCTGGAGGCGGTCAAATCCTCCAACGAGGAGGCGATCAAGGCTACGCCGGTGGAGTATGTAAAGGACAGCTTGACGAAGCATGTGCCGCTGCAGGGGACGGCGGTCGTGCCGCCTGGGGAGAGGGATGTTATGACGGGGAGGAGGATGGGGGAGTATCAAGAGGGGGCTGATTTGATGAGGGAACAAAGTGCGGGCGGGGGCGCGTATAAGAGGTGGCCTGGGGTGGAGTACAGGGAGGGGGATTTGAAGGGGAAGGGGGAGGGTTGGTATTCTGGGGTTGGGGCTGCTGAGGAGGATGAAAGGAGGCGGGTGGCTAAAAAGAGGGGGGGGTATTTGGCTAGGAGTATTAGTGGGGATGGGAAGGGGGGTGCTTATGAGATGCAGCAGCCTTCTCAGAGGGGTTTGATGGCTAGTGGGAGTGAGGAGAAGGATGGGGGGGTGAGGCGGAGGCAGAGGGTGGTTGATAATGAGGAGGGGACGGCCATGTTGCCGGAGCAGGTTGTTGGGGAGGGGTCGTATCGGGGGGGGTTGGAGAGGAGTAAAAGTGGGAGGGCGAGCGGGGGGTTGGGGGAGAAGTTGAAGAGGAAGATTGGGAGTTTGAGGGGAAGGAAGGAGAGGAGGGTTGGTGATGGGGATTATTACTGATGGTTTTGATCTGGTGAGGATTTCCTTTGCTATGGTGTCTCGGGTATGGGTTTTAATATTTGGATTCTTTTTGGGTAAAGAGAACTGGGAATACACAGGGATATATGGAGAGAGATTTCTTTTACGCGTCAACTTATTGAGGAGTTACGAAGGCGATGTATTTATGTAGAATATTTTACATATCATTGTTCCTTTCATCACCCTTTGTTCGTCGTGATTCAACCTGTAACCAACATTCAAGATGCACTGTGGAATCACCGTTGGATGATATGATCTGACACCTAGAAGTTCATTTAAGAATCGTTGACTTGCTTCTTACAATAGCATTTCGGTGGGAACGGAAGAAAAGTTTGAAAGAGTGAGCAAACCTAGGTGGGTACCTCATCCAGATATGTACCACAGCATGATCAAGCAAAGGGGACTGCTCAAAACGTACTTTACTCGCTCCCTTTATCCTCAAGACACAGCATGCAGAATTGAACCGAAGCTTCTTGCTAATATCAGCTATCTGTTCACTGTCCGTGTGGGCATTTTTAAGCCAGTCAGTGGTCCGGTCCCTCTGTCCGTCTCCGCTTGCCGGTGTCTCGAGAAGAGTCCAGGGTCTTGCCAAAGTCTTCGTATATGGATAGCAGTGCGGACTTCTCCTCCTCCAAAAGCCTTGATTGTATCCAACAGCTGGGTTTCCTTCTCCTTGTGACACTTCAATTCCTCCTTCACCTTTCTCAACATCCTCATTGGCCACCCTAACCTTTTCCCTAGCCTCCTTCTCAGCACGCTTCAGCTCCATAACTTTCTCCTCGCCGACTCTAATCTCCTTCTTCAAGGAACAAAAGTCGGTCTGGTTTTCTAACAGTTTCCGTACCAAGACTTCCAACTCATCTATTATTTTAATTTTTGTCTCGAGCTGATGCTTCCTCCAAGACATCTCACAAGATATCTCATGACTCATGGCGTCAATCCTTGCCTGGAGCTCTCTTTCACGCTGTTTTGCAAACTCCAGTTCTTGGAACACCTTCAGCCGGTCCGATGGGCCAGGCGGGCTGTTAGTTAACCCCATCGGCATGCTGCGCCGTTTTACTTACTTCCTCAGGGGGTCGGGCAACCCAGTGTAAATACTCATTAAATGGCAGGTCTTTCTTCTTGCAGCGCTCTCTTTCGAGGAGTTTTCTGAGGTCATTGTTTGGAAGGTCTGCTTCCCGTTCTCGTGACTCGTCCCCCGTCTGCGCAAAAAGCATAGTCTGTTTTTCCATTCAGGAGCAGGTATCGGAATGGGACACTCGTACCACCAGTCATTGCCACACTGTGCGAAAAGGCACTTCCTAGCATGGTTTCTGCCTGTCATAATCGTCATCTATCAACAGCTTGTCTCAAATTCATTGACGGCATATCCTTTCCAAGAACCTTTCAAGGTGCCCAGCTACGCGACATCAAGACCAACAGGCCGGCTTGTGTGCTGGCGATGAGTGTGTACAAACAAAGAAATATGAAAGATGAGAACAACCTACATGCCCAGTAGACTTCGAGTGCATCATTATCATCAGGGTAGCGGTTCACGACTAATAGCCATTTTCCGTAACTCTCTCCAGGTGAATGTTTATGATTTTTGGTTTGTCGGGTATCCGGTTGCGAAGGCGGCGCACTGACGACGTTTGCGTCGGCTTCGGCTGAATTCTGCTGAATAGAAGATTAGCTGAGTCCAGTTATTCACATTCCCTTCGAAGAATAGGCTTTGGTTTTGTAAATTAGAAAGTAACACGAGTCGGGGGCGAAGTTCTTGTCGTTGTGAATTGGGAAGGCATCACCACAATTGGACGTCTGGCTCTGGATGACGCATGATAACAACACAAGGCCACTGGCCCGTAGGTCAAAATGACGCCATGATCAAAATGTTCGTTTGAAAGGCCGGATGCGTCGAGAGTCAGGAAGACACGTACCTGCTGCTTCATATTGTCTTCAGCAAGAGGGAAAGACGACAGAGAAGGGAGTGCCTCCCCGCCCGGGTGCAAGACGACGGTAAGAATAAGAGAAAAGAAGAGAAAGAGGAAGAAGGAGATTCCTCCATGGCCGGAGATTCGATCCGAATTCACGAGATTCCCGTTTTGCTGTGGTCTGAGCTGATGTCAGGAGGTGTCAAGCCACAGACGTAGTCCTGGGGAAAGAAGCTTGGGACAGGTGGGTTTGGAGCAAGTAACTCTCGAACCTTTCAAACTTTCCAGTGAATAATGAGATTCGGACACACATCTCAATGGCCAGCCAAGCCGCCTGACCCATCACGGCATAGGAGACCCAAGGTTGGTGGTGTAAGCCATCACTAAGGTACCAAGCACAACTCCGAAGTAGACCTGACTCGTGCTAACAAGCCACAAGTCATAAAAGTCACTTGGCAATTGATATCCATCCCTCAGTTCTTAGCTGGTGGAGAATTCTCTGAACAGCAGCAACACTTGCGCGACCCGGTCGTTAAACATTTCCCCCAAACATCATGACCATACATACTCGCTAGCCCTTGAAGGGTTACAAAAAGCTGCTACATGAGCATAGTCTTCTCGAAACATGGCAGCCCAAACAGATTGTCCATCTAACTAAATACCTGTTGTTACATCCTAGAACGGTCTTTTGCTTGGAGCTGTCGATATATCTTCACAGCTCACATAGGTAACGGGTCTAGAAAGACACTTAAAACTTACCTAACCGTCCGGATGACTTTTTGAACCCTTCTTCGTTGGTAGTACTAAACAACCTCCCTCAGCTTCCCTATCTTGCCCACAACTCTTCCACAATTTTCCATTAAGTAGGAGGCAGATAATATCAAAGAAAAAGCCCCAATGGTCCATAAACTCTTACAAAAAACACCTCTCCAGATAAAGCCACTGTCCACATGGAAGCTCAGGTGCCTATACCCACACCCATTGACATCCTGAACCGGAAGAGACCTTCCATAATCATACTCTATCACTTCAACCTCGCTAATCTCCTCAACTCATCCTCACTCACCCACTCTCTCACCACCCACGCGGGCATGCCTCACAAGCGTGGGGGTCACCGGTTCCACAACAGAACCCATCTAAATGATCGTCCTCGCTTCAATCTATCACTTCATTTGCGAGATAGGTAGATAGGTAAGATACCCAGCCTCGAAAGCCATCAGTATCTTGATCCTAGCCGGCAGCAGCCAAGTTGAATTGACACTTGTTCCTCAACGGCCATTGGCAACGGTTGAAAATGCCTGAGCGTTTTGCCCCACCCCCCTTTTCCCCAAAAAGGGGTCAATTCTTGGCTCAGGTTTTTTGTCGAGTCAGCTTCGAAGACATACAAACTCTATAGACAATCGGGCAGATCACTGTAATCCCGCAAAAATGTAGGCAGCAGCATGCAACATCTATTCATTGCTTCTCTTCTCTTCCCCCAAGTATGCACACAATCATCACCACCTCCATCAACCGCTTTTGTTTTGGCCTTCCCAGTAGTGGTAGTTCGTTCTCCTTTGCTCTCCATGTTATTCCCATTTCCATCCCATAAAATTCCCAAGCAGCCCGCCACGACTCCATGTTATATTCCCCTCAACTCAATCATTCAACCTTCATTCATGCAACACATGACATAAGTGTAAAAACAAACAAACAAAAACAAAAAACCAGCTCAAAATTATGTTTCTCTCTGTCCCCTTTAAAACCCCCCCCACCCCCCCCCCCCAAAAAAAAAAAAAAAAAAAAATAGAAAAAAAAAGACGCCGCTACCACACAGTCAAATACCAACACTTTGCTGAGGGTATATATATATAAAGAGGTAGTTGGTTCCCAAATAATTTCCCACACACCTTTCCCTTTCCACCCACCCACGCCTATACTGCCTGAAGCGCCGACACGCCTGCTGTTTGCTACTTGGATTATTCAAACAAGACCGATGGATGACTGATGAATGTGATAAAACAAAAGGAAAATGGTTATGTGTATTGTTGTAAATACTTCGTTGACCGCGGAGGGTCTGTCGTGACGTTATGAAATTAGTTCGCCTTGGTGTGGCGCAATGACGATTCGAACAATTCATTGACGTGCAAGCTCGACAAGATTGCTAGCCCGAGAACGGTGGGTATCATGCTGCAGAAAGCGGCGAAATCCGTCCTCGGTCCGCGCTTCTTGTTTTGCCGAGTAAATGGTTGGTGTGTTTGGAAGAACAAAACCCATGATGGATTAAGGGAACCGTGGTCCTTGGTTATGTGGCGGTTGGAACCGTTGGTTTTGTTGATTTCGTTGCCCGTTTTCTCCGCGAGCAGCCACCCACTCGGCATTTCCACTTTGGCGGACAGGTAAGTCAGCGGAGACAGGCACCTTGGTATCGTCGTTGGTCGGGGTTCCTCGCTGGCTGCTGGTATTGACTTGTCCTGGGACAAGCTCGGTCACCGCCTGTGTGATGGACGCCACCACATAGCTCCGCAATTCGCGGTCCTCCCTCGAGTCCTCCTTTTCCAGCCGGAACCGATCCTCTTTGGGCATGTTGGCCCGCCTCAGGTGCTTGATTTCTTGTAATATATATAGCAAGACCTCTTCTGGGCATCGGCTGCGGTCGTTGTAGCATTCCATCTTTCGCACGTAGCGTCTCGTAACATCGGTGGCACCGTCGATGGAGAAGGCGATGCAGTAGGACATCTTCTTGCCCCAGCCCTCCGTGTAAAGTCGTGGGTTGTCCCAAGACTCCTCGCACGCATCCACATGAACCCACCGCTTCTGATGCTCCGAGTATACCTCGGTCCATACGTGGTCCTCGGCATTCCATACCCAGCGTACTCGCCCACCGACTGCCCGGCAAAGCATGCTGAAGCAGTTAGCCCACTCACCGCAACGTCCGCGTCTTGTCTGCAGCAAGCGCCACACGTCGCTGTACCGGGGAAACCTCTCATATGCTCCACAATGCTGGCTGGCACACTGGTAGAGCTCTACGCGCAAAGCGCCACAAGCTTTCTCCTCCGGCATGGGTGGGGTCATACCCTTGGCAACTGTTGGTGAAAGGCAGATGGGACATGGAGGATTGTTGACCCATGTGAAGAACTGTCTCTTGAACCATCTAGAAGATAGCGTTAGCGATTATTTGGGGCAGGGACCTAGAACATGTCCGAGACGTACCTGAGAAGTGCGCGAATGACGCAATCTTGATAGCCCCATTCTGGTTTCCTCCCATCGCCCATGCTCTCAGCCTGCGCTTGCAATACTTGAGTCTCTTCTTCCGCCTCGCCGTATATTCTATCCAATGGAATGACTTGAAGGGCCTCGTCGAGCAGACCCGGGTTTTCATATTTGGTGGGGGTCGCTGAAAGCGAGATAAGCAAGTTTCTAAACTTAATGGATGCTGCGTCGTTGGGCGCTGGTGCTCGAGGAACCTTGGGAAGGTTTCGGACGGCGGAGTATGATGGTGGAGGTGCTTGTGAGGAGCCCGAGGCATAGGTACCGTCGGGGCCAACGGATGAAGCCCTAGATGAGGATTCGGACCGCGATGATGTTTGAAGTTCGTTCAGGCGCTTCGTCCGCAATAGTTGCTCGAATTGAACTCTGAGGTCGTGAGCCCATTCCTCCCCAAACTGGCCCGAGCCCGGAGGGGCACTTCCCCGGTCGGCAGCCATGATGTAGTCTCGGCGACGGAGGTGTGTCGCAGCCGTTGTGCAAAGATGCGTTTGACAGTGCAATAGCTGTAGTTTGGTTATAAGCAGCGCCCAATGTGCGAATGACGGTTATAACGAGTGCGCAGCAATCAAGGGGGTAGTGTTGACTACTATCCACTTTCAGGCTCCCAGCAACGTCAGCAGCCCGCAATCGTTTGCTGAAGCGTCGTCCAAATATCGCCACGCTTTCGTGGACCAGTCGTACACACGGCACGCGTCTCTGTCTCGTTGCCCGTTCCTCGTCTCGGGCGTACGTCGTAGCAAACGTTGTCGTCGTGAAGAGGTAGAGAATTCGATGATTGCCGGTGGTGTTGGTCTTTCCTTCCCGGCGCCTAATTGCGGATTGCGAATTGTCGCTACGTATTAATGTCGTCCTCCTTTCTTTACCCACTATAGTCGACCTTTAGACCTCGCTGTTTGACAAGCAGGCGACTCCTTGTCGGAACAGGAGCGGATGCGGTGTCGTGGTTTGAGCAGTTCGAGGAACAGGCCTCGCAGGCTCTGGGAGTGACGAGGAGATGTGTAGGGTAGGTACGGATTGGTTTGAAGATGGCGGAGGGCCAGGCAGACAAAAGACAGGGTTGCGGGAGCCAGAGGGTGGCCCGGAGGAGACAAGGGGGGATAAAGCTGAGGTGCAGATGGGGGGTGGGGATGGAGACAGTGTGTGTGTGTGTGGTGTGTGTGTGTGTGGTGTGTGTGTGTGTGTGTGTGTGTGTGTGTGTGTAATGGATGGCTGGCATACGTATGGCCCTCCTAATCGCACACTCCGAGTGTTGCGTGGCAGTACATAAACGATTTTGTTTCCCCTTTCGGGCCGCCTGGTCTGGTTCTGTTCAGATCAGAGGATTGTCTTTTCTACACTACTACGAAGACTGCAGTACGTATGCTCAAGAGTCAAATGTCTTCTGCCGAGGGGGTGTCGATGCATCTGGCATCTGCGCTAGGGAACAAACAGCAAGTGAGGGAGGAGGGGGACGCACGGAGAAGAGGCGTCTTGGGTGCCAGACTGGACTGGACGCGCGTTCTCACCCACGCCCGGGCCAATCAACGGCCGTTGCCAGATCCCTCCGCCCCCAAAGACGTCTTGCACACGCATCGGCCTCCGCCTCAAGCATCACCCAAGAGAACACCAAAACGCTGCCAGATATCAGGGTCCATCCATTCGGAACGGAGTCATTTTTCGTTACGATTTCCCCGTTCCTATATATCTACACTTTCCCTCTCGAAATCCTCCGGAAAACTGAACAACAGATGATCGCCTCGCTTGTCGCTGGGTTGCAGTCAGACACTGAAGATGATCCACAGTCTAGGATGACGAGGCGTGGCTTATTAGCCTCTACCCACTTCCCGATTGTGGCTGGGAGATCTAGCCCAGCCAATCACGGTCCTTCCAACTCTTTCTTCCTTCTCATCATGCAGCTGTAGATTCCAGAATGGTCATCTTCGAATCCGAATGCCATTGTCCATTGTGTGTGCAGGTGTCCAACATTACACAACCGAATCGGTCCCGTGCTATTAATACCGCCAAGCACTCTGTGATATCCTCACTGACCATTTACTGTTGGGCGGTTGAAGCAACAGGCAAAAAGGCGTCAACACTTTTAGCAACCGTTTGGCTTTGCTGCCTCCACTACCTAACAAGAGCCGCTTCCCGGCACACTGTGCCAACCAGGATCATGAGTGTACAATGTGATATCCAACATTTGATCTTTTCCACCTCCTCGACGCTATAGTTCATCTGTTCTCGACTCGCGACTGCTGACACGGCGATTCAACATGAGCTGACGCCTTGTTGCCACTCACCAAAACTTCCTTCCCCAAACGGGATGAAGAAAGCCATCGAATGACCTCCTCGAGGTTACTCAAGCATGGACCAGCACTGACGACTTCCAGTGCCCCCGAACCAGTCCGGTCATCAATCAGTCAGGAGACGGCGAGAAACGAAAGACATTAGCAGCCTGGATCAACCGTTCTTGTGCTCCACAGGTCGCAATGAGGCCTACACGAATACGTTGATCTCCAACATAACTTGGGGCAGCAGAGCATGAGAGGATCATACTGGTCAGCGCTCACTTGGAACCAAGTCGTCAACACAGTGTAAGAAAGAAGGCTCAGCCAGCCGGGAACACTGTGGCTAGAGAGGGGTGTGTCTGCAGTGGCGTTCAGGGCAGCGATTACGCGGCGCCTTGACCCTCTTCATCTGACTTTTGCAGATGGCCGCCACGCCGTTTACTCCCCAGACAGCCAGACAACATGATGAATCAACCATCTCGTCAGCCTTCTGGTCTGCCAGCCTGCCAGCCTTCTACGCCTTCCAGACCACTGCACGTCGCTCATTCGTTGCCGAGGTCGTCTAGGGCCACAACAACCTGTTTGTGTCAGCCATCTCCTGTTATCTTTCTCTTGCTTCGGATGTCTTGATAACCCCCTCTGCTCTCGAAAATCCGGGCAGACGATGGGTAGGTGCTGCAGAATCCAGATTGATTAGTCTCGGTCTTGGCACTTTGTCACTTTATAAGAAGCCGTTCGATGGCCCACGCACCCGGCAGACTCGACCGCTCCCCTTTAGGAGCACGCTTGTAACCATGTGTCTTACGTGGACGACCTCTTGCAACCTGACACATGATTTGGGGCAGGGACCATATCCCAAACCTCCCCGAATAGCACAGGAAGGTATCAGGATGATTATATTGTTCGTGGGGTACACGGGAGCGGTAGTCTCCTGGCTTTGGGGTTGATATGACTGGCATGCAGATTGCCCGGTGTCATCTCATAATGGTGAGCGTAGAGCTGTCGGTCCAGTTTCGGTATGAACGGCTCGTCCGTCTCCTTTAACATCCCGTGCTCCCGTTCGGGCCGCTATACCACGTCTTCCCGTCTCAATCTCGGTCATATCAAGGTTCATACGTGGAAGGTTAATCATTCATGTCGAGCTCGGTCATCCAGATGCTCCTTTCGGCCACCACTTGCTGTCGAGGGCTTCAGAAGGACCTGAACCCCAAAGCAGCACCAACATGATCAAAGACACCGCCCGAAGCTCTACCTGGCTTCTCAGTAACACACCAAGATCAAGACTTGAGAACTCAACACCGCTCCTTGTACGCAACTCTCCCCCAACAACCAAACTCGCTCCTAACCTCTTCTTGGCTCCAACATTCCCCACCAGGCCGCAACCCCAAACTGGATCAAGAAGCCATCAAGCAAACCCACATTCAGTGAACAAGCAATGGCCAGGACAGGACGCGCGTCTCTCTGAAATTTCTTCCCAGCCCACCCGACCCAGCCAGCCAACCAACCAACCAACTCGTTTGGCTCAAGAGCCTCCTCCCCCCTCGTCGTGGCACTAAGACCGGAAAAGGAACATCTTACATACCCGGTCCTGCTGCTTGCTTGTTCGGATGTGAGCCTCCCCGCTCCGGCCTGACCCGGTCAGGGAGTATGGATAGGTTTATGAAAGATGGTCTATTCACCTGCTTGAGGGATACTCTCAGGATGGAGATCAAACCCACGGACCCTGGAGACGGCGAATTCAGGTCAAGTAGCTTGTTCACCCGGCCGAGATGATGTCTACTGTACTGAATAAAAATGTCTCGGACAAGCCGGCAAATACCTACGCAACGTAGACATACAAACTAGTGACACCACCTCGACCGTTGTCGTAATACGTGGAAGATGATTGAATGATGATGCCCCATTATCAGCAGACAACCAACCTGCAGTACACGGTGATACTACTGCTTTTATCCTTTGACACCACCGCCCCACCTCCCTCCCTACCTTGCTCTGGTTGTTCTAGACCTACCTAGTCCACTTGATGAAGCGGGTATACTTTTCCCTAGGTTGCTCAAGTTCGAACCGAGAGATGCTGTGATACATACCTACCTCTCTCCATCTACGACTAGTAGGAAAGAAAAAAGGCCGAGGGGGATGTTGATGGTCCGGCTCCCCGACGGCTACAAGGTACCTAGGCAGTGTGGGGGTTGGAAATGTGAGGTTGAGGAGGTATTAGAGTAGTTCAGAGGATGGAAGTGGTGGAGGAGGGAGATACCACTAATGTTTGTCCTGCCCCCCCCCGCCGGTCCCCCCCCAGGGATAAGGTAGATGGGTAGTTGATTTGTGTGCTTGACTTGAGGTCAGACAGACAAATCAACAGAACTTGAAGATGTGACTGACTGGCAGTATCATCAAGATTGAATGAAATACCTGCATCAAAGCATACCAACACGCCATCTTCTACATCACGCACACCAAACAGATACCATCTAACCAGCTCGATTATTCCATTACCTAAAACTCCCATCTTTTTAGAAACTCGGAAAGCCATTTATTTACAGAAACCATCTACATCTCTTGTGCAATCCCACACACTGTCCTCTGACCGTAAAGGCAACCTATCGCAATGCCTTCACCAGATCTGGACAATCCACCCGGCTCATGTCCAAGACTACCCCCTCAACGTCGTCGTAAGCCTCCTCACATTCACCTCTCCCACTCCCCCTCCCCAAAATACCTCTCCTTACCCCCATCCGCCTCCACCGGCCTCTCCACAACAGCAATCTCACTCTCCTCCTCCCCAAGCCCGACAACCCCCAATATCGGCCTAAATTGATACGTAAACCACCACCTCGCCTTCTTGTCCTTTTCCGCAACCGCCACAGTCCCATTAGCCCCCTCCTCCTCCTCATGTTCCTCCTCCCCCTGTCTCAACTTCATCAGCTCACCCCCTTCCTCCTCATCATCCTCAAACTCACTCCCCCCAGCTGTACTCGCCCAGTCATCCTCCCCATCCAGCTCCATCTCCTCCCACCTCGTCTCCCCATCCTCCCCCTGCACCATCTTCTTCACCACCTGCGGCCCAATCACCTCCCTCCCTTCCATCTTCCCCCCCGCACCGCTCCCGTCAACCCTCTTCCTCTTCTTGGACCTGTCCTTCTTCCCCTTGACAACAGTCGCACCCTCGGCAAACTCCAAATCTCTAGACAAGTCCAGCATGAACAAGCTGCTCACACCCCAAAGCCAGATCCTCTCCCCTTGCCAGACAACGCCCTTCATGACGTCCCTCGTAATCCTGAACCGCTCGGGGAGCTTGGGGTACGCGTTCCTCCTCGACCACTCGGACAGCACCCCCTGGAGGGCGCTGAACACAAGGACCTGCTTCTGGATGGTCACCACCAATAGGGAGTAATCATCCCTCGGAGAAAACGACAACACCACAGGGGCAGAGGAGAGCTTGGGAAGGAGACGGGCGTTAGGGCTGCGGGTCCAGCGCTCCGCGTTGGGGTCCGCCGAGGACTCAGAAGAGGACTCGTCTGACGAAGAGTCATCGGATGAGGCCTCGTCATCAGAGTGGTGGGCCGTCGTCGTGCCGTTGGTCAAAGGGGCGTCCCCGGGGACGCGTAATACCCAGGTGTCCATGTACCCGGCCAAGTCGGCAGCGGCGAGCATTTTGCTGTTGGGGGAAAAGGTGAGTTGGGTGATGTTCCTGTTGTAGTTGCCGAGCCCACCAAGAAGGAGGTTCTTGGAGATCTGACGTCTAAGACGGGCGAGTTTTGAAGGAGACGAGATGGTGTAGCTGCCGTCTTCGGTAGGTTGAACCTTGGCGATCATGACCTTGCTTCCATCCTCAACCCACGAGATCCATTGCTTGTTGGGCGCAATCTGGACCTTGGACGCGCCTTGGCCAGAAGTATCAAGATCGATCTTCTTGATCTCGAGTGGCTGGCCAGTGGCGTAATTGAGCTGGAAGACTTTGATGTCTGTAGAGGTGGCGGCAGCGAGGAGCTTACCATCTTCGCTGATGGTGGCGGATGAAATATGAGATTCGCCCCTGACCAAGATCTTGGCGAGAAGCTTGCGGTTCTTGCGCAGGCTCTGCGAGGTGAAGTTTTGTGTGGCGGACGCGTCGTGGAGGATTTGCTGGGCTGGGCTGGGCAGGTGCCAGAGTCGGACTTCGTTCCCCCACCAGCTGAGCATGAAGCGTGCCTTAGGAGCACTCTCCACGGCAGATGCTTGTGGAAGATTAGGCAATGTTCTATGGTTCTCGTTTCCGGCCATGCGCAAGGGCATCACCACGGGGTTGCCGTCGGGACCTGTTATCATGAACTTGTCAGTTTGCAATTCGGGGCAACGGTTATCCGATCAAAACATACCGCCAGATACCAGCACGCTCATGCCCTTGCCCTCGAAAGAAGCCATCGCCTTGACATCATGCGTGTGATATCTCCTGTGATACTTTTTGCTCCACCGGCGGTTTTGCCCAGGAACCTGGATGAACACCGAGGTCTTTCTGTCCATGCCGCCAGAGAAGATCTTGGATCCATCAGAGGCAACAGCCAAGCTCAGGACATCCTGGCTGTGACTCTGGATTCTTTGCGCCTGAGTATAGGTCTTGCCATCGTAGATGCGCACCTGGCCGGTCGAGTCGCCTGAGACGATGTCGCCATTGGGAAGGCACTTCACAGCCCAGACAATGATACTCTTAGGACCTCCCGAAAGATCTGCGCCCAGGGACATCTGTCTCACCAGCTCCCCGTTCCGGATGTCATATGCGCATATTGTGCTGTTGGAGCAGCCGACGACGACGACGTTTCGGTTTTGGAAGGTGATGCTGACAAACTTGACCTTCTTGGAAGGTGTTCTGATCAAGCTCTTCTCGAACTTGAGATCGCCGTCCTCGATCGAGTAGAGAACCAGGTTGCCATCAGCGGTGCCTGCGACAAGCTTCCGGCTGGTGTTGACAGTCGCCTTGTTGGGGAGTGGCTGGACACCCAGACACCAGATGTCGCCGTGCTGCCCGCTCGCGTGTACCTTGGCTCTGGCCTTTTCCAGATCCCATTCGGTGATCTCGTTGCTGTACCCAATGCTGAACAATCTCGATTTGCCGTAGATGATCTTGCCATCAGTCATCTCCTCATCAGGATCCGTAACCCAGACTAAGCCATCGACGCTGCGGTCTTCACCCCCAGGAATCACGAGTTCTTGATGCCACACGCCATTAGCGGGGTTCCAGATCTCAATGTCGCCATTTGCCCTTCCTATGGCCAGCCGGACCTGGACATGTTTCTGTAGATATTTCTTGCCGGCGCTGGTCGAGGGAAGCGAGGAATGTGTAAAGGCGACGGAATTGATGGCTTGGGGAGGATATTGCACAAAACGGCACCGGTGGATATCCATTTTTCCGACTTGGTCGTCGGCCTCGGGCGTCGGCGAGGGGAAAGGTAAGAAAAAAAGGGGTATATCTCGGCGCGCGCAGCTGGTTGAGTTGGTTGACAATTCTGCTTTTCTTGGGTTACTGCTATTTGGCGGGGCGCTTTCCTCTGTCGCGACCAGTGAAGCTGCCTGTGAACTTTTTTTTTTCTGCCGCTTCAATCCGTTAGCCAAGCTCCCAGTCGGTGAAGTCGGTCAGTCAATTAAGCTGTGGTTCGTGCACTCCAAGTGGGCCTTTCAACACCACCGACCCTGCTACAGAAAACATGGATCACAAAGGTGACACTCGTGCCAGTAAATTGTTCGGAAAACATGCCATGCCCACCAACCCCACGCTGCAATCGCTCCCGTTTGGAGGGGTTGTGTCATCGTCCACACACCGAGGCATTCCGTCGAGAGGTTGGAGAGAAACGGAGGTTGAGAGGCAGCCAAACAACCTAGAGATTGCTAGTTCTCTTACTTTTCCCTTCTGTCCTTCTGAAATCATTGTCAATTTCACCAAGCCACCCAACGCCTCCTAGAGCCAACACGTTTCAAAAGCCAAGAGGCGCCGCATATTTCAGTCTCCCTTGAACGGTCACCTGCCTGTGGACCTACCTACCTTCTTACCTAGGAAGCTTGTTTTTGAAGCACACAATTTTCCACCAGAACCCAACCTATCTCAGTCTTTCCTGTAGCAACAAAAGTCATCATACACTATGATTAACTTCAACAGCGGTTCACCCTACCCAGAGGGTGTCATCTCTTTTCTGGATACAGATTTGTACAAGCTGACGATGCAATGCGCCGTCCTCAAGCATTACAGAGATGTACCAGTCACCTATGCTTTTACCAATCGGACCCCCGAGAAGAAGCTCTCACGGAAGGCTTTCAACTGGCTCGAGGAGCAGATCAGGAAGCTTGGCAATATTTCCTTGTCAGCTGAGGAGCTCCAGTACCTCAAGCAGCACTGCCCATATTTCACCCCTGAATATCTTGAGTTTCTCTCGGAATTCCGCCTCCGGCCGAGGGAGCAAGTAACAACCACCTTCTCGCCAGGTAGCGAGGACACTGGTTCCGAGGACGATATGGGAGAGTTGGACATCAAGATCAGCGGTACCTGGCTGGAAACGATTCTGTACGAAATCCCTCTGTTGGCATTGACCTCTGAAGCCTATTTCAAGTTTATGGATACCGATTGGACGTATGATGGGCAAGAGGAGCAGGCTTTTGAGAAGGGTATGCGCCTGCTCGGGGCCGGTTGTGTGTTTTCAGAATTCGGCACCCGTCGACGGAGAGACTATCACACCCAGGCTTTGGTTTTCAGAGGCCTGACCAAGGCCAGCAAGGAAGCGGGAAAGAAGGGCTGGTCTGGAAAGCTGTCAGGGACCAGCAACGTTCACCTTGCCATGCGCTTTGGCATCCCCCCGGTGGGCACCGTCGCTCACGAATGGTTCATGGGTACTGCTGCTATCGTCGGTGATTACACACTTTCTACCGAGGAGGCTCTCTACCGCTGGGTTGAATGCTTCGGTGAGGGTGTTCTCGGCATTGCTTTGACCGACACCTTTGGTACCCCCGAGTTCCTCAAGGCTTTCAGCAAACCCGTCAGACATCTCGGAGAGCCGGCTCCCCAGCACACGGACCGCAAGCCCAGTGTTGCTGATTCTTTCATCTCGGCGGTGACCTCGGCCACCAAGCCGGCCAAGACCGAAAAGACATACGCCGATGTTTTCACTGGTGTCCGACAGGACTCAGGAGACCCCAAGACTTTCGTCAAGGTTATGCGCAAGTTTTATGATGAGCAGGGAATTCATGACAAGAAGGTCATTGTCTTTTCCGACTCTCTCAACATTGACCGGTGCTTGGAGTACAAGCAAGTATCAGAGGAAGCGGGTTTCCAGCCCACATTTGGTGTTGGGACATTCCTGACCAACGATTTCGTTCACACAACGACCGGAAAGAAGTCGACCCCTCTCAACATTGTCATCAAGCTGAGCTCAGCGGCAGGTAGGCCCGCCATCAAGATCAGGTCAGTATCAGTCTTGGAGGCCCAATGAAATGTGGCTAACAGGAACATTTAGTGACAACGTTGGCAAAAATACTGGCGACAAGGAGACCGTCCAGCAGGTGAAGCGCCAACTTGGCTATGTCGAAAAAGAATGGCAAGAGGGCGATGAGTCGGCGAGATGGGGCCGCGAAGACGACAGCACCAAGCAGTGATTTTTCTGCTTTCCAATTCTGCTGTGGGCGGTCGTGCATGGGCATGCATTTTCCAGGGTTAATGGTCGGTATCGATATGGGAGGTTATCTGCTTTTTTATTAGTATGGTTAGTAGGCTTATACCTGGGATAGAGCGGAAGAGCTACCGAAGAACTCTACAGACATTTCCATTGCAAGTTCATCCATTCTCGTCTCCGCGGAAACCTTCTTCGCAGCAAGCTTTGTCGCCGTTGTCGAACAACTAGTACCCCACGTTTGGCAGCCGTTATCTATGACGTGCAGTAGTTTGTCCGGAACGGCGCAAATGAGTGCTGGAGACAGTGTCCCAAATGTGAGAGGAACACTGCTGACTTATAAATTCGATACAGTCTTGCAATAGCAGTGGTGATTGGAAGGTCCAGTCTGATAAAGGTTTATGCAATGGCACCCTGCCCCAGCTGTGCCATTGCCACAACGGGATGTGGGGAAGCAGACAACTTCATGGTTCATATTCCTTCTAGGTGAAGTACGGATAATTTTATGACATTAACATACTAGGTACGGAAGCCAGTTAATACCAATGGCTCCGGTCCAGCTTTACTTCCTGCTCTTCGGGTCTTCACAGCCAATATCGTAGGTACACATTCAACAACCAATTGATCCTCGCGTTGTGGATTGAAGATGCATATCTGGATGATTGGTTACACAAACTGCAGGGACGCATCATCCCACCTCACTGATACACAGATGCCGCACTCGAACCGTTACAGCATCAATCGGGTCATTATCATACATTCCTTCAGACACAATTACTCGGCTGTTTTATGTGATTGCACCTGTCATACAGCCAATGAATGGCTTTACCATGAAAGCAACATCTCCCACTCAATCCCATCTCAGAACATACTCGGGCGGACCGACCCTCAACATTGACAACTCTCAGCCTCAAGTTACATATTACCCCACGCCCATGAGGCTTTCCCCAGGGACAATGAGCAATCCGCCGATAAATGACGAGAACCAAAGAGCTACATCCGATAACGCAACCACCCAATAGGCTCATCCCCGGCCTACCTCCGAACCCATGCCGTTGGCTGCAAGCTACATGCAGCACAGCTTGCCTGAGGCGCTTTCGAACCACCACTCACATCTAAGAGGGAGAACCCTATGTCACCATCACTGTTACGGCATTTTAGATCCTTCGACATTTCTTATCAACACCCATTTTTGGGCGCTTGTTATCTATCTGCCTGCCATATGGCTTTTGGTTCAACCAATGGATTGCGGGTAGAGAGTTACGGTGCTTGTGATTTGGCCACTATCTCTCTACCATGGAGGGAGAGAGGTTTTCGTTTGTGATTTTGTGATTTCATCACATTTTGGCATTGTTGGCTGCGGGTGTTTGCAAAGTATTGATAAGTATTCAAAAGTTTCCCGTTTGGTGGTTTACTTTATGGTACATAGTTGAAGACGATATCTCAGTTTTACACCATGGCCGACCCAAACAGTGAACCACTACCCAAGAAGAACGGATTAGATGGCGGATCAGAGGACGAGACGGTGGCTGCGGTTGAGAATGGAGTTGTTGTCAATCATTCCGGGTACAGAGATCAGTTGAAGAGGCAGTACAGCCTTTTGGGGTTGGCAGGGATCGCAGTAACGGTTGACAATGCCTGGGTAGCGTTGGGGTCATCCATCTCGGTCTCTATACGTATGTCCTCATCATGACCAACTCAAATGCAATAAACTAACATTGTCTCAGTAAACGGCGGCCCACCAGGTCTCATTTTCGGGCTGATCGTAGCCCTCTTCTACTACACTTTCATCGGCCTAGGACTAGCAGAGGTATTCCCCCTTTTCTTCCGCCATAACCTCCAAGACAGCACTCTAACATCCCCCAGCTCGCCTCCTCCGTCCCAACAGCAGGAGGCGTCTACCACTGGGCCACCATCGCCGGCGGCCCCAAGCACGGCCGCTTCCTCGGCTTCCTCACCGGCTGGATCAACTTTTACGGCTGGATGTTCGACCTCGCCGCCCTGGTCCAGATCACGGCCAACATCACCGTCAGCATGTACGTCATCTACCACCGCGACACCTACTCCTTCGAGCCCTGGCACGTCTACGTCGCCTACCTCCTCGTTCTCTGGATTTGCATCTTGACCGTCATCTTTGGCAACAAGCTCCTGCCGTACACCCAGAACGCGGGCATGTTCTTTGTGATTGTGGGCGGGATCGTCACGATTATCGTCTTGGCCGCCATGCCGAAGCAGCGGGCGAGTAACTATTTCGTCTGGGGGAGTTTTGACGAGAACAACCTGACGGGTTGGCAGGGAGGGGTGGCGTTTTTGCTGGGGGTGCTTAATGGGGCTTTTACGGTGGGAACGCCAGATGCGATTACGCATATGGCTGAGGAGCTGCCGCATCCGAGGAGGGATTTGCCCATTGCTATCGCTTTGCAGATTGGGTTGGGGTTTTTGTGTGCGTTTTTCTGAGACGTTTGTTTTGTGATGGAGGCTGACTGATCAAACAGATGCCTTTTGCTTTGCGATTGCGCTTTGTTACGCCATTACCGACCTTGGGATCCTTCAAGGGGGGATTAACACCTACCCGCTGGTGGATATTTACCTTCAGGCGACTGCTGATGGGGAAGGGAACCAGAATCTGGGGGCAACGTTCGGGTTGCTGTTCATCATCTGGTGTGCCTCGATGCTTTGCTGCATTGGCACGACCTTGACCAATTCTCGGATCTACTGGGCTCTGGCTCGGGATAATGCTGTGCCCTTGTCGTCACTGTTCAGCAAGGTCAACGAAAGGCTCAGCTGCCCGGTGCCGGCGACGTTGTTTGTTGGTAAGTTCTCTCTATCACATCCCTTTTTTCCACCGTCCACTAGGTAACCCCCCACAGCCATAATAGCCACAGGCATAGGCGCCATCCCCCTCGGCTCGGAAGTGGCCTTCCTGAACCTAGCCGGCTCCTTCATAATCCTCACCACCGTCTCCTACGCCATCCCTTTTGCAGCCAACGTCTTGACGGGTCGGAAACACTTCCCCAAGGGCCCCTTCCACCTCGGCAATTCCGGCTTCGTCATCAACATCCTAGCCGTGCTGTTCATCACTCTGTTCGACACCTTCTACTGCTTCCCCTACGCCCTCCCCACCAACGCCGAGATTATGAACTACAACTCTGTTATCCTTGCTGGGGTGGTGGTTATCACAATGGCTTGGTGGGTCGTCCACGCAAGGAGGAGTTATCCGGGGCCGAAGGTGATGGGCCTGTACGTGGTTCATGATGATCAAGTGCTGCACGGGGCGGCACCTGGTGGTGGGCAGGAAGCAGAGGGTTTTGGGGAGAAGAAGGGGAAGGAGTAGGAGGTGTACCTGTGAAAGAGTAGAGGTTATGCAGGTCACCTTGTATAGCAGCTGAGAACAAGTGCATGGTTTGTGTTGAGACACAATTTTGACGAAGTAGAAAGATGTCTATCCATATCAAAGTTTGGATGCCGCGTTCTGCCTATGAGTGAGGTCAGATGCCACTTTTGTATTCTTGTTCTAAAACATTGCGGAAGTTGATCACGCTCTTTATCTCGAAGTGGGAGAGTGACTATGAATGTCTGGCGATTACAAGCTGCTTCCATTCTCGATAACAACAAAGTTGTTTACTTGTCAAGTTCCAGAGTCAATGGATTGGAAAACTAGTGAGTCCAGGAAGGGCCATTACGTCAGTAGAAAACAGCAGGTGGCTGGGGAAAGAGCACCTCAAGTGCCTGCCCTGAGTTACACCCCGGTTACCAAACTGAGGAAGGAGCAAGCGATGGAGAACGGAACAGCATAGAAAGAAGTAAATCAACGAGGAAAGAACGCACAAACAATTTATACCTACCTAATCATATGATAACCTCTTCCCGATCACCGCTAATATCTACATTTCTCGAGATCGCCGCTAATTAGACAAACGTTGTTACTTCTAGTTTTCAAACCAGGGATAGCCACAAGCCTAAGGCAAACTCAACGTCTTCCCAAGGCTATGGTATTATGGTACCCCAGTTTCGACATTTGAGTCATCTATGGCATGTGATCAGTATGATCTTCCCACTCCAAAAAACAAATCCAATCGAAAGTCTCAAATCACAACATGTATCGGCCCGTCAAGGTCGATCCATAAAGAGCGAGCGTCTCGACTCCCAACTGAACATGAAGCCAAACATCGCGTCAAGTTAATCAGACTGTGAAGGGCTGGGCTCAATCTTTCCCCGAATGACGACCGATCTGGCAGCTCAACCGCCGCAAAACCTGCAGAGAAAAACCGGCCCGAGGCCTGTGAGCCTCACATCAAAACTCTCACCGGCTGGTTGCCCCCGACGTGCTTACTGGTGCGACACCACCTGTCATTCATTCTTCAACTTCCGGTTTCCCCGGTAGGTATCACAAGAAAAAGAAGGTCAGAGTGAGACAGACAAAGGGCCGTCCAAGCCAGCAAAGGCCGCAACTACACCGCATATTATGAATAAGGTATGTGACCATCCGTCCAAGTCACTCGCTCACTCCTCGTCCTCTTTATTTCTTTCTGGCCAAAACAAAGAGCTAGAGCAACAGGCCCTCCAGTGCCTCACCGAGGCGAGGCTGGTCTTAGCTTGCTCCTTTGCCGGCCGAGTCACGTCCACACAAGATGTGGTCACATACATCCCGTACAGTATGGGGAATACATTGACCTCGTAGCTACCCGTCACAACGCCTCGAAACCTTACAAGGCTCTGTGGCACGTCGGCAACCGCACAACCTTCGTCATGCCCGCCCCTCGTACTTTCCAGTAACGAGTGTCACCTCTCACAGTGTACAGCGCAAGTCCAGGCAGCCTCCCATCCCATCCGAGTGGCCGTCGATATTCCGAGAAGGGCAAAGAAAGTACCGCAAAGTACTTTGCATACCGGTATGTCAGTAACACTGTGTACCTACCTTGGGCTCGAGCTTCCCCCCTAAACTGAAATAGAGCACAGTGTTAGTCCCAGCCTGGACCATCCTACCCTACCCTACCCACAAGGAGCCTCCCCCAAAGCAGAATCGCTGAATCTACTGGCTCAACTGCTGATGCAGACTCCACCACACCATCCATCGCCAGAAGATAGCTTCCCACCCTACCACACCACCCTCCTGTGTTACAGCATGGAGAGGGGGGAGAGCAGGGGGGGAGGAGAAGACGCTGTTGTGCCCCAATCTGGCATAACGGCGGGCAATCTAACCACCCAGACTACTGGGACCGGCCCCCAACACCACTTCACCGGGCATGTCCTGCTGGTTACCCGTGCCAGTCCATTATTTCCCTACTCGCTGAATCGCCAAATCAACAGGTTTAGTCAACCATGCCGCCACTAGTTCCACGGTTCGAGAACCAACAGGTGGCAATGTGAGTCTGGTGACGGCACCGCGCCGCCATGTCATGCGGGCATGACTAGTAGGTTGATGTTCCAAGATGTCGACCTCGAGATAGAGATATGACCCGGTGGAGCGGTCGACCCCCGGCAAGGTGTGATGGCTTGGGAGACCGGCATAAACTGGGTGTGGGAAGAGGCCCCGAAGGCAGGCGACGTCTCGGCCCGGGGTTGCCTCTGTGGACGCATTCTCTGGCATCTGGTTAGTTGTTCAGCTTTTATGGAGGGTGACTGCCACACCTCACCTACCGTGTTTGCTATTCTTGGTGCAGTAGTCTTGTCATCACGTCGCGCAGAATTGGTGGACAAGCATCTCTCATACTTTCATACTTGTCGTCTGATGGATAGGAGCCGCGAAATGTGGAGCCGAGCCAGTGGAAACACCGCTGAAAGGAGCTTCCAGGCCAAGCCCAGGGGTATGTCCACCCAAGCTGATTCGTCATTTTCTCTATGCCGAAAAGTTTCGGGGCGATGGTACAACACGCTCGGCAGGTTTGGTTACGAGACGACGCTGTTGAATTGAGAACAAGGTCTACACCCCCCGAAGGGCCTCGCTTCACCCTGCAGCTGCAAGTAATAGAAAAGGCGGTCAGCATAGCAAAACACATGCCGAACTTGCACATATACAAGATGCAGGACTCCCCCACTCTTTCGTGCTCTTCTGACCATCCTGGGCTGCCAGCGCCGCCTCTAGTGTAGGCTCGGCCGGTGAGAAGTGAGGGGCTCATCAGACTAAGCAGGTTTATTACGACGCAATGAATCTCCTGCCCTGACGCCGCTTAGTTAGCCAATGCTAATTGGTTCGGGACCGAGAGGTGAGGGCATACCAGGTTACAGGTAGCCCAGTGGACAAACCTCAGAGCGCACAGCTTTCGGAGACAATTCCGACGGAATCCGCGGGTCGTCGGTGAAGCGTGCCAGTCCGTGATTCAGGGTTCACGGGTCTACGACATCCACCGAGTGGGAAGCAAATCGACTGGGCTGGGTGCTTGAGACAGAGAGAGAGGTCAGGGAGCCATTCCCATGCCACTCATGTCTCGCTGTTGGAGGAGAGGGAAGAAAAAGTGGGACGACCCGACAGGTCGGTAACCAATCAGAAGAAGAGGTTGGTTGCGCAGGCAGCTAGGGTCAAGGGGCGACGCTGGCCGCTTGGCAGGAGCCCAGCAGGTGGAGTAGGGAAAAAACAATCGGTGCCCCCAACCGCTGGAAACGCCAACTTCGGAGCGAGCAACGTTGGACAAAAGCGGCCCTGGACAGCTGACCGGGCCTTGATTCCCTTTGAGGACCTTCAACTCCCACCGTCTGGGCTTCGGTGAGACTGGGGGCAACCCTCTTCAGGGCATCGGATGAGAGAAGGCCAAGGGAAAAAGGCAGCTGAAACAAGGGATGGAGCGGAGATGTCGAGGACGACTTGAAACAGGCTGGCATGTGGTGAGAAACATGCAGGTGTGTACCTGCTTTTGCAGCCTCGCAGGCTTGCTTCCGAAATGGCGCGAAGAAGCGGCATCGGAAATTTGGCCGCGATGATCTGAGTGGGTGAGTGGTGAGGAGCTGGAACGCATCATGATGGCATGGTTCCAGCCCACGTTGCATGCAACTCTGTTTTGGAAACCTGATTAAACTGCGCACCTGGCCAGCCAGCAGCTTCCCAACTTCGTTACGCGCTTTTTCTCAGAAGTGCAGAAGTGAGTGCGTTTATCCGAGATAAGGAAACCGCAACACGTCAATCTGTCATCTTGGAAACAGCGCCATCCGCAAGCGGCGGCCCGGTGAACTGATCATGGTGGTGGGCGACCAAGTTGTGGTTTCGGATCTGGGAACTTTTGAGCCGTCTTTGTTACAACTCGTTCAAAGTTCTCGGATGGCCTGACCCGACAGGCTGGAGCCGACGTTCTTTGTTCATCTTGATGGCGATAGTCTTGTGGGATATGGATACAAGAATCTTGGAGCCTTGCTTTGTTGGTTGCCAGCCGCTCCACCTCGGGTCTGCTGGTGAAGCGCCATGCACATGCTTGGCGATGTCACTCGGTTGGTCGAGTCGCTGAAACAAAATGAAGAAAGAAGCGGAGGTGCCGCCGGCACGTCAGCGGGCATTGGTGAAATCAAGGAGGTGTCTACGCACATTGGAACTTGGAGTGCCGGATACGGGAGCGGGAGCGATGGAGACGCCCGCAAGAGGGGCTACTTCCAAACCCGAACCGCTGGAACGGTGCAGCAGAAAACGTGAACGATGGAGAGAGGTGGCAACTTTGACAGTGCGCATCTCGTAGGTATTCTCCAAGAATCATCACAACAGGACCTCAGGTACCTTGACGGGAAGCAAACATAGGTAGAAATAATACTCCGTACCTAGGTAGGCAGGGTATTAATATGGCCTCGGGACCTTCTACCTGGGAGCTTGCAACCCCACACCCTTACTTTTACCACCTAACCCACCCGGCCCCCGACACACCCCTCCGGGCAGCTCCTGCAACCGAGCTAGGTGTTCCCGCGATACCCTGATCCCCCGGAAAAAGCAGACGAGTAGAATTTGGAAGGAAACAACAAAGCAGACATAATGACAAGATCATCAAGGCCGAGTTCCATTCTATGTACCCGACGGTTCTGTCATTGTTTTTTTGGCTCCCCTGCTCCATGCCCTGCGCAGGCAGTGCATCCTGTCCGTCAGCCCCCCCGGCTCCCGCACCACCCACTGCGACGTAGCGCCTTCTGGTTGCTTTGCTTAGGTTAATAAGGCACGCGCCCCCTGCCACCGGTCCAAGAGCTTCTTCCTTCCATTCTATTTGCTCCACCCACCCTCTTGAACAGTCGGGTGTCATCCGCAACAACTGCAATCTCAAATCGTCGAGCAGTGCCACGGCTCCTGCAACCGCGCGCTGGTCTCAGCTAATTTACCGCTCTTTATCATCTTATATCGCATTCCCTTTCAGCTTAAAAAACCACACACACATCGCTCACCGTACCACTTGCTACCGGCACCACGGCGAATGTTGGCTTCAAAAAGATCATTTGCTACTGGTGAGTTGTCCCATCTTCTTAGCCGCCAGTGACTGCATAGGAATTGTGGCGGGCCCGTGTCTGAGAAGCTTCCACGAGATATGCCCTCGTCCCTCACGCGTGCTCGTGTCCACGATAAAGTTCAGCTAATCCAGCCAGTGGCCCCTCCGATTCCGTATGGATCGCTGTGCTCGGCGGTTTTAAATCTCTTGTGTCTGGTCTTCTAACCTCATTTTTCCAGCTCTGGCACACTTCCAACATTTCAAATAGCAACCATATACTCATATTCACGACCTACCGCCCGTTTTCTCTTTGATCATTCGGAAGCTGTTGGATTGGGCTGATTCACAGCGGGATGGCGATGGAGTCCCAGCCATCAAGGTCCTTCTATAAGTGAGTTTCCTGTGTGCGTCTGATGACCAAGCCGGCCCGACTAACACCGCCCGCAGTGGCACCGGCTCATCACAACAACATGAGCAAAACACACAAGTGTACCAGGAAAATGGACGATGGTATGGCACCAACAAAAAGGGTGCTTACATGTTCCCCGTTGATGCGGTAAGCTGAGAGGTCCCAAGTTCGCGTCCATCCGTTCACATGATTGACTAACCACTCGACGTGAAGGATGAGCAAGACCGCCTAGACATATTTCACAAGTTTTGCTTGGTTGCTCGCAAGGAACTCCTGCACAAAGCCCCGGTCGCGGTAGAAGAACCATCAATTCTTGATCTCGGCTGTGGCACGGGCATCTGGACCATCGAGATGGCCGAGTAAGTTGCTCACATCTCATGGTCACCTCATTTATGCTTCAATACTAATTTCGTGATGAAGCAAATACCCGCGTGGCAGACACGTTGGCATGGATCTGAACTTGATCCAACCCGAATTGTGAGTTTATGCTGTCTTCCCCTACCCAAGTCATCCACACTAACAGATCGTTAGCATTCCCTCCAATCTCACCTTCTTACAAAGGGATATTGAATCAGAGTGGCCCCAAGAGCTGAAAGCAGGTACTTGGGATCTTATCCATATGCGCACGCTCAATGGCAGCATTGCAAGCTGGCCGCGGTTGTACGCCGAAGCCTACAGGTGAGTCTGCAACAGCAAGTTGTATCAAGTCTCTGCTAACCGCTTCCAGGCATCTCAAACCATATTATGGGCACATCGAGCAAGTTGAAATCGACTTCACGCCACGTAGTGATGATCCCGGACTTGTCAATGGCTCCTTGATTTCGCAGTGGACAGGAGAGCTCCTGACTGTCATGGACAACTTTGGCCGATCCATGCGTCTCGACAGCAACGTGACCACGCAGCGGCTGGCCGAGGTAGGGTTCGTTGACATCAAAGAGGAGGTCATCCGGATTCCTTTCAACCCATGGCCGACAGACACATATTCTCGGGACATTGGCCGTTGGTTTAACTTGGTTATGAAGCAGGGATTCCAACCTCTGTGTCTGGCGCCCTTTGCGAGAGGACTCAACAAGTCGTTTTCCGAGATTAACGACTTTGTTGAAGAGGTCAAGGCGGAGGTGAGTAAGAAGGAGAAGCGTGTGTTTTGCACAATGTGAGTTTCATTAATGACCCAGACGCGAGTCGACGGCAATATGTCTAACAGCTCCCTAGGCACATCTTCACAGCGAGAAGACCACAGTGAGTCTCGCTCGTTTGCTTGTTTCTACCACCTCCCTCAAACCACTCGGGTACAACAAGAGCACCCCTGTGGGATAACCCACCCGCTTACCTCGGCCTTGCTGCACCTTCGGTCGTACCTACATTCAACCCGACGGGAGCGCCAGGGCCGGAGTAATGCGATAAATGAACCACGTTCTCCCCTCCCAGTTGACCATTCAATGACGTGTGGCATTCTAAAACATTACAGGGGGGACAACCCAGCTTCCTCTTCCCAGACCTCCAGGTCGCGAGCCCGCCAGCACTAAGGCACATGTTGGCCCACCCATCTTACACCCGCCAGCAACCAGCATTTTCACTCGAAAGCAGCTCTCTAACTCGCCGATTCCGTATGCACGTCGACCCACGGGGTGTCACATTTACGCACCGCCATTCATATTACGACACACTACCGTGTATATATATCTATACATGATCTGGCCTTTTGCGGCCAATCCTTTCAGCTCCTTTCCTCGCCGACTTGACGAGCAGCAGTGCTTTTGGGAACCTTGTGCGATTTCGAGGTGAAAATGGCCAGCACGTTGCGTTCTTCTCCAACCCTGCCCAGTCGCACGTTATGGGACTCTACTCGCTTATCTACTGAGCTTGACATTGATGGGAGTTGCCGAATGGGTGGCTCGAAGGCCCACCATTGGTTCAGATTTGTCGAGGTTCTTCGATCGGCCTCACAAGCGCTTTGTCTTTCCACTGTTCAGCGTTGCTTTCAGCCAAAGGCGTTTAGGGAGTTATAGGGGATAGGAAAGCATAATGGAGGGCTCGAGGATGGAACAACAGGGGGGGTGTGGTACGTGGCAGGTCGGCATGTGTGGGACATCCCATGTCTGTTGGTTGGCTACAGAATGGATGTTTGCCATGTATCATCGAAGGTCTGTTCACTTTTCGTCACCCTTGGGGCAGCAGCGCGATTGGATGTCGCGTATATCCAGGTTACACAACAGACTTGAAGAAAAGCGATTTGTTACTGTAGCGACTATGGCAAGACTTACACCGAATTCGCCAAGCACTGGAGTCCAGGAGCCCTATCCTTTACGTGAAGCATGCCTGTCTATCATGGCCGACGCTCCTTGACAGCACCTATCTAGCCAACTTCCATAACCATGAGATGACCTGTTTTGCCCCAGCCACCCTCGATGTTACTCTGCTAGTTGTTGACAATCTGACAGGCAGATACGAAGGGGACATTGGCGATCTCGACGACGGTGTTTGAGTATGCACGACCCCCTCCTCGACGACCAATCGTCATGGTTGGTGTTTGGAAATGGTGGGTCGGCTCACACGCTCTTTGGTTGTTGGTTGGGCTTGTTGAACCCGACAGACTGGTTCCAGCGTTCTATTACTGTGTATTGCTGACTTGCCAAGATCGGGTGAGAAGCTGAGGACGGTGAGGATGGTGGGGGGGGGGGGAGAGTCAACCAGCCCGGGACAAGGTTGGATGGTATGCGAGGGTGGAATAGGACGGCAATTCATGATAGGACACGGCTTTTGTGATGCAGCGGACGGGGGAGGGGGGAGGAGTGGGTCGATGCCTGTGTACCACACACGCATCTTCGTCCCCACACACACAGCCTGAAGGGACGGAGGATGGGGGGGCGGGGTGGGATATACCCGGGCCAGTTAGGCGGGTGGTGAGAGTGAGATGGTTATCTAGATAGATGATGGTTAGGTACGAAAGTTATATATCGGGGTTGTCCAAATTCCTGATCTAACGGCCAAACATATAAACAACGCCCTGTCTGAACAAACCTTTCCCCCCCTTTTCTCACTCATTTTGTTTTCTCTTTTGTTTCCCCACGTCTCTCTCTCTCTTTTCGCGCCCAAATATAGCCTAGCTTTGTCCTTGGTTGCTCATCCGCATGCTACCCGATTTTTGCATCTTTGACAGTGCGGAGAGGAATACAGTTGACACCGTCTCCAATTTTTGAAACGAGATCAGATAATTTGGACAGCTCATCAGCCAAACCAAACTAGATCAGGCCGGGCAGCCGAGCCTAGTAAGCCCTGGGTTTTTCTTTTCTTGGATTATGTTACCATCTGTGCCAGACAAAGTGTAGTTGTGGAGGAGGAGCCTGGAGGGGGGCAATGTTATTGGGTGTTCCTAAAAGGGTTATAAGTTTCGAGGCGACTGGAGCTAGAGGGGTGGTTGAGATTTTGGAGTTTGGATAACACATTGCTGGGGGTGTAGCGTCGTTCTTGCGGGTTCAGTAGTCGTCGAAGCGCGCTTGATTAGAAGGGTTTCCGGGAGAGAGGAATATCGCAAGGTCAGATAAGGGGGAAGGAGAGAGATCGGTACAGCCAAAAGGGGCAAGGCGAGATCTGCGGAGCCAACTGCACTTGGGATATGTGGACGCTGCCGAGGTAGGTACGGATGCTAGATAGTTGATCGTGAGATAGCCTCATATATACTCAGAATCAAGATCTCCGTACGCCTCGCTACCTTGACGTTCATAAGTTCGACATGTGTATCCTGGTTACTTTCGACAAAACCAACCAGACCTCTAATTGCGTGGAGGATATGGGATTTAATAAGCCTTGTGATATTTTAACCAGAGCGGTCGGTGGTGCAAGATATCTCTAAGGTGCATGACTAGGCTCTCTCTCAAGTAGGTGAGTATTCCCCCAGACACAACGCACCTAGAGAGCCATTAACATCATGTTTTACAGGAAAGTACCTAGCCATAAATCAACCAACTCTCCACGTTGTTGATAAAACCTCTGGGTCGCAGGGCGAAGAGGGCATCAAAGTTCGGCTCTATCATAACAAAACAAGACAGCCACAGTCGAGACCACCAGGAGGATGATGGCTTCAACAAGCAAACCACTGCTAGAATTCGTTATTTCTGCGTCACGAGGAAGGAGCAACCTGTCCTGGATGGGACGAGCAACAACAACATCACCTGGTCGCTCCTTCCCTGTCGCTCCTTCCCTGTCGCTCCTTCCCTGTCGCTCCTTCCCTGTCGCTCCTTCCCTCCATGGGATATAAGTTCCGACTTTGAGAGAGCAATCGCAGACCAGGACGTGCCTGGTGGGGGAGGCGAAGTGGCCCAGCGGTATGAGGAGACGTCCAGATTACCCTGACCCATGAGGAACCGGATAGAGATTAGGCAGCGCTGTGGATGACTCAACTTGCGGGTTCGAGACCGGAGGCGGGCGCGAACTTTTTTGACCCTTTTTTTATACCAAAAAGCCGAACTCTCGATATTGTTGAAAGCTTGAAATTAATTCGGGTGCAATGATGCCTGCTAAAAAGTCGCGAAATGATTAAACCTTTCCATTATCATTGCCCAGAGCCCAGAGCCCTGATGCCCCTTCCAACCATTCCGTCTCGTCGCCTGTATCGTCGTCGACTGTCCTTTTTATGATTCCTGCTTGACCTCTGCATCATCAACCTGCCCTATACCCTCACCACCATCTTCACCACCATCCGTTCCACTCCCAACCCCCTTCTCCTCCTCCCTCTCCCTCCTCCTCTTAACAACCCACTCCCCCAACTCCCCAAAAATCTCCTCCTTCTCCCTCGGCTTCAACGTAGCCGCCAACCCACTAGTACTACAAGCAACAAACACCCTCGCCCCATTCCACTCCCCCCCCCCCTCCACCTTTCCCATATCCTCCCCCCGCTCCTGCCACCCATACCTAAACTCCTCCTTCTTGATCCCCCTCCCATGCCTCACCCTCCACACGCTCTCCCAAATGCTCTTCCCAACAATACACACCACCTCCGGCTTAAACTTCCTGATTTTCTCTTCCAGGACCGCAACGCCAGCATCCATCTCCTTCTTTGAAAGCTCTGCCCCGTTCCGTGTCGGTCGGGGGACAATGTTGGTGAGCCCGAGGGAGAAGAGGGAGGGGAGGAGCCGGTCTTCTTGTGGCGCGCAGAGGCGGGGGGTGATGCCGGATGAGTGGAGGAGGCGCCAGAAGAGATTTGTCGGGTGGGCGTAGGCGTGGCCGGTGGAGGAGGTTAGCAGGCCGGGATTCAGTCCGACGAAGAGGAGGATGAGGTTGGGAGCGATGGCGTCTGGGAGGAGGGGGAGCGGGCCGGGTGGGGTGGGGAGGGGTTTGGGGCGTTTGCGTTTTGAAGGGGAGGATATTGATGATGGTGGTTCCGAGGGGGAGCGTTTGAGGGGGGATGGTATGGATGGGGAGGGTTGGAGGAGTGGTGTTGATGAGGAGGAGGTTGATGTGAGAAGCCGGGGGCTTTTACGGAGGGGTTGTTGGAGAGGCATGGATTTCTTTTGCTCAGGGGTGAAGATGAATTCCGAGAGTTTGAGACGGCCGGCGAAGGTCGGGGTGGGGAGGTTGTCGGTTGCTTCTTCTTGGGGTGATGATGTTTCGGACATTTTCTATGGTGAGTATGGATTAAAAGGTGCGCTTCGGAGGCGGGATATCAGTCACTGAGTTTGAGGGAGGAAGGCACAATCGGTCTCTTGGCGTGAAATTTCGGAGATTGATTGAGTTGAGTGAGTTTGGATGAGATTATCAGAGTATCCTGTAGATGGTTTGATGAGCATGGAGGTTAGGTAAAGGAGAGCTCTGAATGGCCACCACCCCGAGGCAGCAACGCCACCTATTCAACCAGGGCCTTGACTACTCATCTGCCAGATGATCTACATGCCCTCACAACACACTGCAGACACAAACATGACATGCCGTTCTCTTCTCAGTTTTCGCTGCCGTGGCACTTGTCACAGAGTCGTCTGAAGCCATTCTCGTGTTCAACATCGTGTTGAGTGTTTGACTGCGGATCCGGACCAAAAAAGAAGCCGGGGGAAGCTGTCGCCCAGCAAGGACGAGAACGGGAAGCATGCCGCGAAATAATCAGCCAATCACATATCGCCCTGCCACCACAAGCCCCTGGATTTGGGGCGGTGTGTCGATTGTTCGCGGCGGGGTGCTGTGGCGTCACACTGTCTCGGAGCTGACAGCGGGGCAGGAGCTACCCAACAGCTGAGGAAGAGCGCGGCGGGGTCCTGTCGTTGCTGGCGGGTTGCCAGGAGGTCGAAGCCCCTTTCGGACTTGTTTTCTTGCTTCGCCCTCTTGGAATAAAAAGCACCCCCTTCCCTCAGAGGCTTCTTTCTTACTTTGGACACTTTTAAACTACTGCAGCCGCTTACCAACTCTATTCTTACTTCTCCACCGTTAACTAAGCTCGACTGCACAGACCTTTGACCACAGCAATGTCGGCCCAAGAACCAACACCGGAGCAGGTCTCGCAGCTCAAGGCAAAGTACGAGCTCGCTGCCCAGGATCAGGTCTTTACCTTTTGGGATTCGCTCTCGACTACCGAAAAGGCCTCGCTTTTCCAGCAATTGTCCCTTTTCGACCCTACATACATCAACACCATCTTCGCCAAGACCCTTGCACCCCTAGCAGAGGATGGGAAGCCAGCGTCTCTGGAGCCCCTCCCCGAGGCTGCCCGGGCCAGCATTCTCGACTCAGACCCGGCCGATATCGAAAGATGGTACAGATCCGGTCTCGATCTGATCGCCACAAACAAGGTGGCCGTGGTTCTCATGGCCGGTGGGCAAGGCACACGGTTGGGCAGCTCTGCGCCCAAGGGCTGCTTCGACATTGGCCTACCCTCCCACAAGTCTCTGTTCCAGATCCAAGCCGAGCGTATTCGCAAGATTGAGGAGCTTGCCCAGAAGAAGTCCGGCAGCAAGGTCACGGTCCCGTGGTACGTCATGACCTCCGGGCCAACCCGGGGTCCTACCGAGCAGTTCTTCAAGGAAAAGGGGTACTTTGGCCTCAGCCCCGAAAACGTCTTCATTTTCGAGCAGGGAGTTCTCCCCTGCATCTCCAACGATGGAAAGATTCTGTTGGAAAGTAAGAGCAAGGTTGCCGTTGCCCCTGATGGGAACGGCGGTATCTACAATGCATTGGTGGAATCTAAGGTGCTGGACGACATGAAGAAGCGCGGCATTGAGCACATTCACGCTTACTGCGTGGATAACTGCCTTGTCAAGGTGGCCGACCCTGTCTTCATTGGCTTTTCGGCGAGTAAGAACGTCGACATTGCCACCAAGGTCGTGCGCAAGCGCAATGCCACTGAAAGCGTTGGGTTGATTGTACAGAAGAATGGCAAGCCGGACGTGGTTGAGTACAGCGAGATTGATCCCCAAATCGCCGCCGAGGAGGACCCAGAGCAACCCGGTGTGCTCAAGTTCCGTGCCGCCAACATTGTCAACCACTACTACTCGTTCCGCTTCCTCGAGAGCATTCCCGAGTGGGCCAAGAGCCTGCCACACCACGTTGCCCGCAAGAAGATTCCCTATGCGGACATCGAGTCGGGCGAGCAAGTCAAGCCCACCAAGCCAAACGGTATCAAGCTGGAGCAGTTTGTCTTTGATGTGTTCCCCATGCTCGAGCTTAGCAAGTTTGCTTGCTTGGAGGTGCGCCGCGAGGACGAGTTCAGCCCGCTCAAGAATGCCGCGGGCACCGGCGAGGATGACCCGGATACTAGCAGGGCTGATATTACTGCCCAAGGCAGAAGGTGGCTTGAGGCTGCTGGTGCCAAGGTTGCGGGTGGTGTTGAGGTTAGCCCATTGTTGAGCTATGTAAGTTGTTGCCACCAAAGTCCTACAAGAAAAGCATTGACTGACTACAGCACAGGGTGGTGAGGGTCTTGAAAAGTACAGCGGCCAGGAGGTCAAGGATATGCTGCAATAGAGCGGCTCTTGGATTTCTGGAGGTCGACTGAGCGTGGATATTAATGGCTGACCGGGCGTTGGAAGACTGGAAAGGGAAGGATTATTATTTGGAAAAATTAGCACTATGTGAAACCGATCATACAGCAAGCGTGTTCTTGTTTAATAGCCCATCCAGGATAATGGACATCTGTGGCGCCATTTTGCGCATGGGCAACAAAGTTGGGATGATGGTGTCGGCCGTTGCTCATCGATGATCCCGGTGGGAGCATGAACACAAGTTCATGGAGCCCATTCTGGACCAAGCATGGCTTAACACAGCCCAGCTTGAGAATTGATTTCTTGGTCCATAGTGGCGGGTAAAAAGATTCATCTGGACATGGTGTTGTTACCGCAAGGCTGGGTTTGGATGTCCTATACCACGAGGTCCAGAAATCTTGTAAGCCCCCACACCCAAGACCCTAGGTCTCGCCGCCGCCGGGGATGTGCCGAAAGACGCGGATGCCCCTGGCGGGATGCTGTCGGAGTAACTAGATTGGGCTGTGGTGGCCCATTTTTCAGCAGGTCTCGTGGGCGGTTTGTAGTGCTTTTTTGACTGGTGAGCCAACGGTGATCATCTCGACCGAGAATGCGTGGGGATGGGAGATTCCTGGCAGGGCGTTGGGAGTTTTTCTGCCCTTGCTGATCATTGGGGCTTGGGGTTTCTTAAATACTTGAATCTATCTCTCTCAGAGCTGCCTATAGCTCTGCTGTTCAACCAACGTTGCACTGGTTTTGTCCTTGATATCGCAACCCAACCGCGGGGCAGTTCTGTTCAGACAGCTTGGATCTTCACCAGCATCATCTGAATACTACAGGGACGGTTCATCTGATATCGACAAATCACCTGGATTTTACAGCAATTTGTCCTTTACTTATTGACTACTGATACACGATTTTTTTCAATCTGCATTTTGTTGTTGTTGTATTTCCTGGTCGAAATCTCACCCCTCCGCCAAGAAAGATCTACAATCACCAAATCTGTGCCTCGCTCACTTATCTTCCTCAACTTCAACCTCACCTCTTACCCTCACTCCGATAACACCCATCCCCCCCCCCACCTTTCCCTCCTCCAAACCGCCAAAATGCTCGCCTGGTATGTCCTCCTTCCACCCACCCTCCCAAAAAACAAAAACTAACCCAACTCAAAAGGTATCAAGCCCGCCTCGCCTCCCGCCCCCTCCTAACCCAATCCCTCACCACCTCCCTCCTCTTCGGCATAGGCGACATCACCGCCCAGCAACTCATCGAGCACCGCGGCCTCGCAAACCACGACCTCCTCCGCACAGCCCGAATGGCCTCCTACGGCGGTCTAGTCTTCGGCCCAGCAGCAACAACCTGGTTCCGCCTCCTCCAGTCCCACGTCAGGTTCCCCTCCTCCCCAAACCGCACCATCCTCGCCCGCGTGGCCGCCGACCAGGGCCTCTTCGCCCCGACCTTCATCGGCATCTTCCTCTCCTCCATGGCCGTCCTCGAAGGGGGGTCCGTGACCGAAAAGCTCTCGTCTTCGTACTGGCCCGCCCTGTCGGCAAACTACCTTATCTGGCCGTTCGTCCAGCTTGTCAACTTCAAGTTTGTCCCGCTCCAGCACAGGGTCCTGTTTGTCAATGTCATCAGCATAGGGTGGAACTGCTATCTCAGTTTTCTCAACAGCTCCGCGGGGACGGAGGCGGTGCCGCCGCAGGAGGAGGCGGTCAAGATGGCGTAGAGGGATTGTTTGGGGAGACAAAGGAAAAAGCAGGCAGGGCGTTAGGGATGGATCACAAAGCAGAATATTTAGTTACATCATGATTTACAACAAATGATTTGGCCAAAGTGTAATGTCAATTGTCTTTACATTAAAAAACTTGTCATCTTTGCCGATACTACCTCGAAACGCGCTTCCATTCATGACTGCCCGAGGCTTCACTCCAGCTCAGAATTACTGCTTCGCTTTCTGGCTAAAGATGTGCTGCTCTCAAACCCGAATGCTATCACATCAGAAGCACGACGGCCTACATAATCTTCTCAATAAAATAATGGTACGGGTTGGTTTCGTTCCGGCTACCCCAATTACGGCCCACTGAGCAAATGCTCAATAGCACCCTGAACACTGCCGCCACTCCTGCGCAAGGCTGCCACGTTTCTGTCAAAGTCAAAAAATCCCATGTCGTTCAGCTGCCGCAGTTGCTCAGCATATCTCTCCTCAGGTGGTCTGTTATCAACAGATGCTGGTGGCGCGCCAAATGCACCCAGCCCGCCCAATCCGCCCAATCCGCCCAAACCTCCCAGCCCTTGGAGGGCTTGTCTCATCTGAGCGAGCTCTTCGGCAGACATGCCGAATGGGTTGGCAGCACCCGCACCAGCACCCCCCGCTCCCGCTCCCGCTGCCGGAGCGCCGAACAGAGCAGCAAAGGGGTTGACCGGCGGCGCCTGAGCACCCTGCGCTTGGCCGTCTGGAGAGGCCCCCGCCGCGGCCCCAGCAGCTGGTGACGCCGGGTTCGCCTGACCAGCACTCTGAGTCGAGGGCGTTGCCCCTGCAGGAGGTGCACCCCAGGGACTCATACCGCCAAACAGGGCAGCAAAAGGATCGTTTCCAGAAGCACCAACGGCGCCAGGGAGATTGTTAAAGAGGCCAGGAAAAGCACCAAACGGATTCTGGGCGGCATTCGCACCCTCACTACCTGCCGCACCAGCCGGTGTTGTGTCGGTGACACCGGGCGCTGGGAAAGCCGCAGGCCCTTGACCTCCGGCTAGTCTCCGCATCCTGGCCGCCATTCGGATTGCTTCGGGGTTTGTCATCATCTGTCGGAAGGCCGGCGACTGGAGCAACTCGCGCGCATTGGGCACATTGGCCAACATTGGGTTCGACTGGATCATGTGGTCAACAAAGGCTGGGTTGTTGAGGGCTTCGTTCATGCTCTGTGCGATGGCTGGGTTGGATAGCATGTCGGCCATTTGGTCTTCGCTGGGAGGCGCACCCATCTATTACACGCTGTTAGCCACGCCTGGCAAAAGATTTAGAGGGAAACTTACACCACCGTCAGCCCCGAAGAGATCCCGATTCGGCAGAGGGGCATGGCCAGCAAATCTGGCGCCTGTGAGTCCGGCGAGAATGTTGCTGGCTGGAGTTCCGGCAGCCATATTCTGGGGAACGGCTGGTGGTGTTGGTGTCGACGTCGACGCAGAGGACGAGGCAGCGGCATTGCTTTGTGCCGACTTGACTAAATGGATCGTGTTAAGATTCTTGATCTTGTAGACGCTCAGGGCATCCGCATCCTTGAGGATACGCCCGGAGTAGATAAGGCGCTGGTTGGCGGCTGGGATGTTTTCGAAGTCGGGGCTGGCTAGCTTTGTCTTGAGGTCTAACACGGTGGCCGACTCGGACATGGTGATGGTGTGCATTTTGTCGTTGGACGCCTTGACCTTGAAGGTGATCTGGGCGTCGCTGCCCGCCTCGGTGTTGTCGGCCATGGGCGAAGGTGAGGATGTGTGTCACTAAGTGATGGGATGTGGTCGTTCGTTCGGGGTAAAGGGCGCTTGTCGCGATGACGCCTGATAACGGATTGTAGCTCGGAGCGGGGTTGGATCCGGAGCGGAGGTGAGTCTTTCGAGTGCGATCCGAAATTAAATTGTATGGATGGTGTTGATCAAAGTCGTAAATGACACTCGCTGTCGTTGTTGAGGAAAGGGACAAAAGTACGGAGTAGAGCTGGCAAGAGCTAGGAGGTGTTGAGGCGCCAAGGTTGATCATGAGGGATGGAGGTGCTTGCCTCCCCGGCCGCGACTTGCGACAGCCCACCCACCAGTGGCGTCCACGCCAGCGCTATCGGGATATCGCCAGGCTGCCGAGCGCACCTGCCTCGGCGCGCCTATCAGCACGCGGGACGGAGGTGGTGATAACCCCACCACCATGTGGCTCAGCAAGCGGGAGCTTTCTTTGACGTTCTGTCCAACCGCTTATATGGCTTTGGGCATCACGTGAATTCTCTTTTATATATGCTTCTCAGCTGATTATACTATCCTTCGACAGTGATATCCAGACCAGACAGGTTATTAATCTCAGCTGGTATCAATTAATCCGTTGAAACAGATCGAACTAGCGGGATATGTGGGGTTCATATTAAAGCGGGGTTTTACAGACTGTAGGTTTCCTACTTTCAAAGCTCCACGTTACTTGTTTCAACCCAACACACTACACTTCATACAGACATTCTGATTCTGAAATATCCAGACCATGTGAAGCACTAGAGTGAAAAGAACTAGGCGGATCAGCCAAGTGGCAGCTTGACCTTTCATCCTCCATCGGACCGAGAAGTTCAACTTAAGCCACCCAGACACGCCGTCTTGTTTTGAAACGCTCAGCCTTACCATTCATTTTGATTTGAATTTGAGAACCTGAGATGGCATGGCTTGCTTGACACAAACTAGGCACCCCTTATCGGCCCTTGAGGTGGTACTTCCTCGTACACAACACTCGGTCGGGTCCTACTATCGGTGCTGATGCACCTGTCGGTGGAGCTCTCGGTGTAACACTCGGCCGCCATACGAGCACAGGGCTAGGCGGTTTGTGCACTTTCCTCCCCGGTTGGGAATGTCACGGCGCCGGCGAGGGCACGGCCCGGTCGGTACAGACCGTGGGGTGTATTTTCACGTGGTTGATCCCAAAGCGCCGTACAAGAGTTGTGAATCAGGACTGGGATTAGCTGAAACACGATCGGTGATGATAGACATATATGGACTGTGTTGTGCACCTGGACTGACGCTGAGGGCAAATGTTCGACTCGGCATAGTTGAGTGGCTAAGTACTCTTCGGTACGACAGATATGGCCCTTCGGAACGGCCCAGAGCTCAAAATGTGTTTCCGTCCGGATTCTAGCTGGTTTTGATGGGCGTGATCTTGGAAGCATGTGCTTACCCGAGCATCCAAGTGCTGTGGCATCGTCAAAAGGCACTCTGCATTCCCCTTCTATGGTTATGTTTTGGTTGATGTGGCTCTGACTCTCTCTATTTCTCCGAATCCAGCCTCACTCTGAGTTGTCTTGAATAGACATCTTGAATTCGGGATGGCAAACGAGAAAACATCAACCCCCTGAACACGTGGAGCACTGAGGGTGCAGGTGACCGGCACTTTACCCTTCACCGGCGTGCATCACAGCTGAGGAAGGGTGTGGGAGAGCCTGATCGTTTATGCAAGGAGCGTGCCCTGTCTTTCTGCGTGAAACTATACTTGGGAGCCGGCCGGCTGCAGAAGACGACATGTACCTCGAGATATCAGAAGCCTCACCGGCCATCTGGGCATGTGGATGCCCAGCAGCCACAAAAAGAAGCCGACAACTTTTTCGTGCTGACATCACCGCTTGTGGGAGGGCGCCAAGGGCCATCGATGCCCTATTCCAATCTTTTGGCTGAACTGGTCACACTCTCTGCTGCAGGTCAGCCATCGGAACAACTTCCACGACGTGGTTGAAGTCATCCAGGGCCCAAGCGCGGGGCAGGTGAAATATTCCCCACCCTATCACTCAGCATCTGACCCCTGCGCCTGGGTATGACTTGCAGCAGTCCTAGCAGGGCTGGGTTCGACCTGTTACACATTGCAGTTGGTACATATACAGTTGGGCTGGACGAAGAGCTGGCACATACAGAAGAGGTCTGTTGGTGCGAACACCTGATTGGGCTGACCCACAGTCAATACAGCCCTCAATTGAGCAAAAGTTGAAATTTTCACCGTCAGGTCTGTGAGGTGAAGAGGCTGTGTTGGGGTTTGGGTTACGGGTGCTGGAGAGAGCGGGGGTTGGAAAGCTACTCCGTAAAAAACCTTCGTTAGGCAAAAGATATGGAAGTCTTCTGGAAGCCCGCCAAATTGATTGCGCAGGTGATGACTAACAGGGATTTAGGTTTTCGACCAACTTCACTTTTGGCACACCTCGAAGGCAGGATCTCACCCACAGCCACAGCAATCCAATCCTTTTTCTCCTGTCTTGACTCCTCCAGGGACATCTTTTTCTATTATTCATCAAAAGATACAGGATAACCCCCGCGCCTTGCTTTGGCCCAATATCAGACTTGCATAGGCACACACACGCGTTTGGTCGAAGATGCCCGAGCAAGACAGACAGGACGACATGCCACTCCGGAGACGTCTGAATTGAAACAATTGACGACTCGGTGACTGGCCAGAGACCTCATTCTTCCTCTCCTCACTCGTCGATGGTGCATGGTGGGCCATGGTCAGAGCCAAGACAGCTACTTATCGTCATGTCTCTAGGTCTAGGGTTTAGGTTTTGCACCATGCGTACCTAGTTGCAACCAAGATGTCGATACTACCATGTGCGGCACATGGAAGAGACGAGCGAACCGTTGTATTCTGCTAGCGATTCCACGAGCCCTAATCCCCCGGCATCCCGGTCCGCCGTTGAGGTGAGCCTCGGGAGACGACAGAACAACGGCGAAAATCCTAGGCGAGATGGAGTCGAACGGTGCCAAGGGCTCAACTCACCAAGACCCCATTCTCGACCATCTTCTCACCGACATGTCTCTCTCTCTCTCTCTCACTCTCACGTGTCCTCTTGACCTCAAGCAAGAATTGCCATTTATAGCACCCAGTTCGCGCTTGTTTACACCAGCCGTGCTTTTGCTCGGCTGGTCGTGTGCGCTCACCGCCGACTAACGAGATGATTGGATGGCCAGCGTTGGAGCTACAGGAAGCCGTGAAAACGGCAGCCAGCGTGATTATCCGTACGGAAATCGGCAGCCAGAGCCCATGGTGGATTCGGAGCGAGTACTCCTTGGTGAATCTCCAACTGCCGCTAAGAGGGCTCCTCGTTGCTACCATCCGGCAAGAAACACCAAGGTCAAGCTCAAGTGGCATGGACCCGCGGAACCGTGGACGGAGCAGGAAAATCATCATGTTACATCTCAGTCTCTTTTTTTCTCCTTCACATCCCGCGCTGGATCGTCTCAGCTGGTACTCGTCACCAGAGATTCAACACCCGCCTTTCATATCCCTGCTGCATTACTGCCACAAGCTGTGGTCTTGTTCCGACAGATGGCCCATTGTATCCTTGATCGCCCGGTCATCGACCAGCCTCCCCCCAGCAAATTATGTCATGCAGCTTCCCTTTTCTCAACTCAATCTTCGATAGCCCTGTATGGCTCCACCGAGCTTGGGTAGGCAGGCAGGCGACTCACCTCGAGCTGCTTTCCCACTCGTCCCATCAGCCATGTAGCTAGGTATAAGAATAAACTCCGGGAAAGTCGTCGTCCACCCCCTTGATGCCCGACCGCAGCTCCCGACACCTCAGAGGTCAAAATGAGCTGGCAGAAGTCTCTGTCTCAGAAACGCGGATATTTCCTTGTTCACCTGGTTCTTAAAGAGTAGACATCTCTGTGGTTGATTTCCCTCTTTGCTGTCCACGCACCAAGCACTACTACTACACTTTCAGACTTACAAACTCGATCAGCAACAGAACATCATGTCTTCCTCCCGAAAGTCTCGCATAACAAATGCCTCCAATGTCATGTACACCAATGCCGTGTATTGGCCGAACAATAGGCTTTACAAAGGAGACACCCCCGGCGCCCTGAACTACGGATGCATCAACAGAGTCTACTACGCTTTCGCCAACGTGACAGCTGACGGAGGAGTTTTTGTAAGTTCATCCTCCTCGAGTGTACAAAGACAGACAGGCTGACACAGGGTTTACCAGCTCAGTGACGAGTGGGCAGATGCTCGAGCACCTTGCGATGGTGTTCAGGGTGCTCTGGGATCGTTGATGCATCTGAAGCAAAGATATCCTCACTTACAAGTTATTTTGTCTATTGGCGGAGGAGCTTCAGCTGAGACATTTCCCATTGTGGCGTCAAGCACTATACTCCGTGACAACTTTGCCCGCTCGGCCCGAGGGCTGGTGGAAGCATCAGGCCTTGACGGCATTGACAGTACGTGACCCCCAACCTTTCCTGCACACAAACTTACAGCTTCACCGCTGCTCGCCTCTAGCGGTCAATGATGACCTCATTTTATCCCGCGTTCTTGTAGCTAACCAACCTAGTTGTCTGGGAATATCCTTGCAATCCGCAGCAAGGCAATGACTTCCTCGCCCTCATGGCAGCAATTCGACTCCATCTACCCGAGGACCATTATCTGCTTACCGCTGCCCTGCCTGCAGCCCGAGCTGTCCTTCAGAACATCGACCATGGGCGAGCATCCGAGTACCTTGATGCAATCAACCTCGTTGCCTACGATTTCTTCGGTACATGGACTCCCAAAGGTGGCCACCATGCCCAGCTGTATTCGATGAGCAAGGATGAAGAATCGGGGGCGTCCGGTGTCCAGTTTCTGATGGCTTCGGGAGTTCCTGCGAACAAGATCCTTCTGGGCATTCCATGCTTTGGGCGAAGCTTTCTCAACGTCACAGGCCCGGGGCACAAGAATAGGGGTGCTGGGGGTGAAGATGGATCCTTTGACTACAGTCAGCTTCCCAGGAAAGGCA